ACAAATTATGATAAGAAATTTTTATTTTTTTTTATAAAAAAAGTTTATGATAAGGAATGGTTACTACAGAAACAACAACCCTAACTTGTTGTAGAGGCCATCCAATTTTTAATAAGAAAAATTGAACAAATAAAAAAGTTGGATATCAGGACCTTTATTCTTCGTTTCGGAGTGACTTTTAATTTATTAGCCCCGCTACATCAACCCATCACCATAGTATTTTAACTCAATTCCATATTTAAAGCTAAATTATAGAAGTTTCAGGTTGGCCTAACGTCTTTAATTATTTTAATAAATTATTAATATAAAATTCCTTTTCAGTTGCGTTTTTTTTTTAGGAGGAAGAGATCCGTCCATCGGATTTGCAGGGATTTGGTTGAATCAATATAGGATATGGACTTTTTCAGTTGCGTTTTTTTTTTTTTTTGGTTTTTATTGTTTTATTTTGTGCATTTTTATATCTAAAAAATTAAGAAAATGCCATATAGGATAAAATCTTATGTGGCATGTGCTCCTTAACTTTAGATTTCTCTCTCTAGTTTTTGCCTTAGTATAGTTTTTTTTTTTTTTTGGTTTTTATTGTTTTGTTTTGTGCATTTTTATACCTAAAAAATTAAGAAAATACCACATAGGATAAAATCCTATGTGACATGTGCTCCTTAACTTTAGATTTCTCTCTCTGGTTTTTGCCTTTGTATAGTATATAGATATATAGATATAGATAGATAGATTTAATTATTTTAATAAATTATTAATATAAAATTCCTTTTCAGTTGCGTTTTTTTTTTAGGAGGAAGAGATCCGTCCATCGGATTTGCAGGGATTTGGTCGAATCAATATAGAATTTGGACTTTTTCAGTTGCTTTTTTTTTTTTGGTTTTTATTGTTTTATTTTGTGCATTTTTATATCTAAAAAATTAAGAAAATGCCACATAGGATAAAATCCTATGTGGCATGTGCTCCTTAACTTTAGATTTCTCTCTCTAGTTTTTGCCTTAGTATAGTTTTTTTTTTTTTTTTTGGTTTTTATTGTTTTGTTTTGTGTATTTTCATATCTAAAAAATTAAGAAAATGCGGCATATGCTCCTTAACTTTAGATTTCTCTCTCTGGTTTTTGCCTTAGTATAGTATATAGATATATAGATATAGATAGATAGATTTAATTATTTTAATAAATTATTAATATAAAATTCCTTTTCAGTTGCTTTTTTTTTTTAGGAGGAAGAGATCCGTCCATCGGATTTGCAGGGATTTGGTTGAATCAATATAGGATTTGGACTTTTTCAGTTGCGTTTTTTTTTTGTTTTTATTATTTTATTTTATGCATTTTTATATCTAAAAAATTAAGAAAATGCCACATAGGATAAAATCCTATGTGGCATTTGCTCCTTAACTTTAGGTTTCTCTCTCTAGTTTTTGCCTTTGTATAGTTTTTTTTTTTTTTTTGGTTTTTATTGATTTGTTTTGTGCATTTTTATATCTAAAAAATTAAGAAAATGCCACATAGGATAAAATCCTATGTGGCATGTGCTCCTTAACTTTAGATTTCTCTCTTTGGTTTTTGCCTTAGTATAGTATATAGATAGATATAGATGTCTTTTTAATTGAAGAAAAAAATCTTTAAAATATATTTTCACATTCATTGTGTTTTCCTAATTATCATGAATAGTTTTTAAGATTTTTATTCCAATTAAAAAGACATCCTAGGTGAAACTTATGACGAAATCAAAATGCCTTATAATAAGGACCTGGGAGAGTATGCCATAAATAATTTACAGGTTGCTGGTCATATGCACTTTTTACTATTTTATTCATTTAATACAAATTCAATGGTTGTGATTGATTTAGAATAATCCAACGGCTATTAATTATATAACGGGACCATACCCTTAAAGTTAACGACGGGACTGCAACTTTACCCTAAATTTTATGGCTTGGTACACTTGTCTAATTAATACAATCTAATTATGGAATGAAAAATTAAGAAAAATTTATTAAATCAATTCATTCTCTTTCATCATTTGATTTCTCATGCCATGCTTTCAAATATAACAGAAATAATATTCTATTAATTTTGTAACTCTTTCTTCTATTCATAATTACTGACTCTTTCCTCTATTCATAATTACTTATGGAGTTTGAAAATTAGGAATAATTTAAATTTAATAAAAAATCATGAAATTTTGATATATATATGTCATGAAAAATATTACTATAACTCATGAATTTTTCATAGAATGAGTATGAACCATAAATATAAAGATTTCTAAATATTTAATTAATCTTTTTATGTTCTTTGTATGAAAATTTATATAATTCTCATGAACATTATTTTATATGAGTATGGATATAGACTGCTTATTTGCATCAGTCTTTCAATTCTCTAAAAAAAAATCTGTGAAATTTGGATATACATGATATGATATGAAAAGTATCATTGTTATTCATGAATATTTCAGGAAAAGAGTATGAACATTTATTGTACATGTGATTAATCTTTTGAAATTTCTCTAATTTGTACGAACATTTAGCATAATCTTCATGAATAGTCATAGTTGTACGTATGAATAGAATATTAAAAATATTACAACCTTTAATTTATAATTATGTGTACACTTTTTTAATTAAAAGATATGAATTTGTTATATATTTGATATGAAAAATATGTTTATTTTATCATTTGAGTGAATCTCAAAACAAGTCATCAACCTTTAATATATTTCCACTCCAGGTCATCAATTAAATTTATTTGTAACACAGGTTACCTTACTAAAGTTTTCATCCATTTCAGATTATTCTGTTAATTTTGGCCGTTAAATAGTGATGGAAATCCTTTTTTTAATAATCTACAAGTTAATAAACAAATAAAAAATTAATTTTCAAAAATAAATTTGTTTGTCATTTGTATCTTAACTTCTAGATTATAAAAAAAAGAAACAATAAGAAACGTGAAAATTAATAACTAAATAATTCAATCGAGTTGAAAAAAATTAAATAACCTAGAAGAAACAACTTGTCTTAGCTAATTCTTTTAGTTTTTCTTTTTGTTTAAAATGGTAAATTATTAATTTTCATGTTTACTTTCACTCGAATTTTTCTTCTTCATTTCTTAAATTTTTTCGAAAAAATTTTATAATCTAGAAGTTAAAATACAAATGAAAATAAATTTTTAAAATTTAGAATTATACTACCAGTGTATGCAAGTTAGGAAGTATAAGAAGAAGAATTGTAAAAAAAAAAATTTTAAAGATTAAAAAAATAATAAAATAATAAAATAACAAAAATACCCCTGAACCCAAAAGCATGTGAAAAATGGATTTCCGTCGCTATTTAACGGCCAAAATTAACAGAATACACTGAAATGGATGAAAACTTTAGTAAGGTAACCTGTGTTACAAATAAATTTAATTGATGACTTAGAGTGAAAATATATTAAAGGTTGATGACTTGTTTTGAGGTTCACTCTTATCATTTATGAATTTTACATTGTATGATTATGAACTTTTAGTTTTTTTGTATAAATAGAAATATATTAATAAATAACTATTTCTTCCTTTTTGAATTTTTTTCTAATCATGTAATTTATTTGAATATATGATATATGATATTAAATATGGAAAGAAGATTGACTAATTTAATACTATCAATATTTTAATTAATAATTTATTCCTTAAATAGATTTTATTAATTAGACCAGTGCACCATATATGGTGAACCATATGTGCACGATATAAGAACTGAAATTTGACATTACATCCATTTAGCAATACTTTACAGTTTAAAATTGGGCTCCTAAAATGTAATGAATAGAATATTAATGTACCAAAAACAATGACCTACTCGAATTAAACAAAATAATGGTTTGGGTAAGGGCACGGTTGAGAGTGCTCCCAAGGTAGCTTTCAAGTTTCACAGCCAAGAAAAATAACTTGGAAGCTTGTGGCTGTGAATTGATTGAAAGAAGGTTGAATTGGAAGACAACAGAACCTAAATCCTATGTAATTAATTTCCTTTTTTTTTTTTGTTTTTTCTTTGAAAAAAATTCTGGTTCATGTCTCTGTAACAACACCTGTTTATATTATCAAAAATTCAAATCTCTTTTATTTTTATTTGGCTTTTTGCAATTGCTGTCCAATCAACAGAGTCCAAAATAGGCCAACCCAGCAACCCTACTCGAATCTACTAATGAGTAGTTTTAGTAAACATTTTGATTAGTTGAGTATCAGAAAATGGGTATGGAAAGGATCCCACTTTGCTTTTCTCTCCATTTTGATTTGTAATTTTTTAATCCTCCGCATCACGCTTGTCTATCCTATTTTTGGAAAATATTATTTTAAAATTTGTGTAGTGAGCTAGTTGTTAAATAAAATTGATATATATATATATATATATATATGATTGTTAAAGTAAGTTATTCCATTAACTTTCAAGAAAGTAGGCTGCATTACAATTTTAAACACGTTAATTATGAGCTTAATGGCCTTTACTTGTTCCAAGTTTCCAACCATTTCTGTAAAAGTCCAAAAGGTCATTGAGTATTATAATCAATCAACTTGATGTGGTAAGTCAAGATAAGGTTTTCCTTCTATCAAGCTAAAAGAAAGGTGATAATGAAACAATTTAACTAAAACAAGTGAAATATGTATCATTACTCTGCTTTTTATATATATATATATGTATATATAAACAACTAATATGGTGTTATAATAATATGAGAAAAGAATCTCATCAAGTGTTTATATGGGGTAAAGAAGGAAAAAGAAACATTATACAATCATATGTATAACAACATGTTTAAGGGTAAGATACTTCAATTTGACTCATTATTTATAGGTACTTTTCTTTTTTCTCTCATTTTTATTCTACTTTCACTCTTTAACTCTTTTTAATAAAAAATCTTTTTACATTTTTTTTATGGCGAGAATAATTCCTTAGTTATTGATTTTCTCCTAGTAGTAGTCTTAAATTAACTTATTCGTAGTCCATTTTTAGGTCAATAAAATTGTACTACCATAATCTTTGTTAGCCTACATTAATAATAACAAGACTGTCACCCTCACAAGACACAGCGACGGAGTTACAGTAAAACACACAGTCACACACAAAAACTGCGTGCGTGAGAAAGATAACACTTATTTAATCTTCAAAAATCCTTCTTTTTAAACAACCCTTTTCAGTTTTTATTAAAATCCCATAATCCAATCCAGTTTTCCAAATTACAGGATAACTTGATAAAATAGCGACCTTTTCTGCAACAATGGTGGTGGGTTTATTCCTCAATCATGGCGTTGTAGAGTAACTTTTCTAAATTAGAGGAGGCTAAACTTATAGAAAGGAAAAGGAATTGAAGGGCAGTGACAGAAATTGTTCTGGATTGTATAATGAGAACGATTTGTGATATATGTGAGAACGCTGCCGCTGCTGTGTTTTGTGCGGCGGATGAGGCAGCCCTTTGTCCTCCTTGTGACGAGAAGGTAAAAAGAAGTTTGTAATTTTGTTCTAATTATTCTCCTGAATTTGAGCTTATTGATTTAGTGAACTTGTAGCATTATAATTTGTTTTTCTTGAGATGTTTTTTGACGTTTCTTTGGCCTATTGATTCATTGAACTTGTAACATTATGTTTTGGCTGTGACCCAGAAGTAATCTTTTTATGCCTCATTGACAAAATTTTGTTGTTGTTGGCCTGCTTTCCGTTCGTTCTTATATGTCAGATATGGTTCAAGACCGAAATCCTGGGTGGGATTGGTTGATTTTGAGGAGTTGGATCATCTCTTTTTTATGGTGTGGTTCATACATGATCGCGTTTCTAGATTTGTCTGTTTACTGGATGAATACTGCTTGCAAATCTCAGTTTGGAGTTTGTTTTTTTCATGTGATTTAGATTTGTTGGAGCTAATCTATTAGTAATATCACGAGATTATCCTTAGGAACTGATAAAAAAAAAACCAAGCTCCGGGTACGGAATTTTCTGCCCAGGCCTGTTTGAATTTGGAATCTGAAAACAAACAAGAAATTTATAATCAAACTTGAGCAGATATTGCATCAAGCTTTCCATGGCCCAGCCTCTGAAATCTGATCAGAAGGCGGGGTAGAAACTTCAGTTATTAATGTTGAAAAGTTAATGAACACAGAAAAAATGAGGTAACTTGTGGAACGTCCAATCTTTCATATTTTTGCACAATGTGCAATGTGTGGGATCGGGTAATTGCAATGCTTGGTGTAATGAAGGCAATCTTACTCTATTTTTCTGTGAGAACACTTTTTTTCGACTCAAAACTCAGTGCTGAGATCACTGTTGTTGGACCTAAACAAGTTTATCGATTGTGTTAAGAGATAAAGTGAAAAAAGCAGATTTCAATCTCCTGCGGTAGGTTCTCTATCGAGTGATGCTCCTCATGTTGGTTGACTGTCTTTAAGTAATGAACCATACACTACTCTGCTTCCTTTAGTGTGCTTACTAGTTTGTTCAAATGCTTTTCTTCCTTAAACTTATTTGGGTTAGTTTAAAATGGTTTTGTTAGGTCCATATGGTTAACAAGCTAGCTAGTCGACATGTTAGAGTTGGGCTTGCGGAACCCAGTGAAGTTCCACGATGCGACATATGCGAAAATGCGCCTGGTAGAACATGCATTCTCTTACCCTCTCCCCTTTGTTTCTTCATATATTGATTGGCACTGTGTTGCAGAGTAATTCAATACTCTCTTCCTTGTCACCTTGATGTAGCATTTTTTTATTGTGATGTCGATGGAAGTTCCCTCTGCATGGCTTGTGATATGATGGTCCATGTTGGGGGGAAAAGAACACATGGCCGGTATCTCCTTTTAAGGCAGAGAGTTCAGGTTTGTGTTTTTAGGAAAGCTTGGTGATCCATAGATCAGAGAAAATGCTTATATTTGCTTATATGAGTGTTGTTCTGTAGTTTCCAGGGGACAAATCTGGCCGTCCTGATGAGGTGGCATTGCAGTCCTCCAATCCTGGTGAAACAAAAATGGAAAATCATCAGCCACCTAAGATATTGTCGGGAAATGAAAATGGAAGAAATAATGCTGTCTTTTCAGTTCCAATGCTAGGAAGTGAGACTGATGGGGCTGGCAAAGCTGAAAGTAAGTTTATTGATCTCAATGCTAAACCTAGAAGGACACTTGGACAAGCTTCAAGTAATCAGGTATTCTAAGTTTGGGCGCCAGTTCTGTCTGATAGGAATTCAATTTTGCATAATATGGATATCACTCTTGACACTGTATTCCTGATTATGCTTGTGAAACAGGGACGTGAAATGTCGAGCAATCATGAACCTGCAAGCGGAATTCCAGTTGCAACCTTAAAAAGAGAACTTGACAAGTGACTATATATACAAAAACACACTGCTATATCATTGAAAGTCTTTACGTATTCAATTGCTGGAAAAATATTGTCGTGGTTTATCTGCAAAAGCTCAGGCAGTATCAATTTCCAGATCAGTTCTGAGCCAGATTCATCGAGATTGTTACTTTCTGAAGCCAACGAGCACCAACTCCCCCAGATACGACGCAGTGTTGACCCAAGTCAGTTCTACACTTTTGATATTCTAAAGAGGCCAAAACATTGACAAGATTAGATCATGGTGATTCCAACAAAGTTTTGCTTTTAAGAAAAGTTTCCCGTTTGAATATCATTGAACTGGGGTAGACTTGTGGCTATTTTTATTTTCTTTGTCCAGTTTTCATAGTGTAACTGTGCATCACCTCTGAGTAGTAGGCAATTCTTCTTCTTCTTCTTCTTCCTTTTTAATATATGAAACTGGAAACATCCACTCTGAATGAAAAGGCTACTGGTGTAAGGGTATACTGTATGCATGCCAGGAATTTGTGGTATAAAACCTCCTAATGGTTGCATCAATGGTGGAATTTGGCTGCTCAGGTTAAGATACCCTTTCATCATTCTAAATAATTCACCTTTGAATAACAAGCATCTACACTGACAAGTATCATTCTGTGAACGCTGACAGAGTGACAGCCATCCCAGAGGAAAAAAAAAAAATATTGTAGTAATGCTGCCCCATCATTCTCCCCCTTCTCTTTCAATAGTGGTAAGGCATGGGAGACGTTACATTTATGCAGAATGTGACCTTAAGTTATGGCTGGAACAAGATTTGATGGGTAATTTCTACCCATGAAATGCTGTCAACTTGATGTTCAACGTTTATATTTTAAGCTTCTGAGTTTGACGGATATAATAGACAAAAGGTAACTCTTACAGCATCGTCAGTTTGAGATCGTGATGCAACTGCGCTATCTCTTGCACAGTCAGAAGAGTCAAGATACCCACTTAAATCCAGGATTTGCCTCTTCCAGGATTAGTTGATTGGCTTTATCACGACATTGTAGGGATTAGCTATCCCCGTCGCGTTGTTGTATAACTTTGAAGCAATATAAGTACTCCCTTTTGCACCAAAAAAAGAAGAGTCAAGATACCCCAAACTAGGCTCAATTCAAATCTTGATCATCGAATTATCCATGAAGTAGTTTTTTTTTTGGATAATGGATCCATGAAGTAGTTCGTTAAGGTCATTTTGCAATCTGGAATGGTTAGACATCATTCATTTGTTGACGGGTTATAGCTTCATGATCATCATCATCAGGTAAAGGGCACTTATAAGCGTACTTTTACATTAGAAGGACTCCCACTTTGTTAGTTCCATTATGTGGCATCCCAACACATACTACAAGATCAAGCCAGAATTTTTTTTCCCCTGATACCAAGAGTTCAAATGACTGATTCTGACATTCGAGTCAAACGCTGCCTTGATTGGCAGAGCACGATTAAACTCTGGAATTTGAAATCACTGCTTATGTACCCGGTATTCATAAGTCGGCAGCAACATGATGCAATGCATGTGTGATACAATACTAACTAATCTCATTAGCAAGAAATTTTATTTAAGAGTGGTTAAAAAACATACAAGAGTAGTAGTTTGAACAAAAATAGGGTGCCAAATCTATCAGCAGTTTCAAGCATGCATTACGAAAAGAACACTGTCTGAACAAATCCTTTTGCTTTTTACTATCACCATTCCATCAACATAAGTCGACACAGCATATAAAAAAGCTAAAGCTTAGTAGACGTAGCCCTTGACAAACATTCCCTTCTTAGCTTCCTCTGATTCGCCTTCGCCGGTGTACTTTCCAAGTTGAGCAAGGGAGTTGGCCTTGGCCCTCACCAACAAAGCTTCTTGAGCTGCCTGAACATTCTCAGGGCGTCCACCCCATGTCTTCAAGCAGGTGTTCTGGAGTGCTCTTGCGTACGAGAAGGATACGTGCCACGGGTTGGGAGATTGGTTCATTGCATTCAAGTTCAAGGTGGCTTCAACTTCAGATTGCCCACCAGACAAGAACTGCCACAACAAAAACAAACACTTTGTCAGAATCTACCTTCACATAAAAAAAAAAAAAAAAAGCCAGATATTTTGCATCAACAGGGTTGATCAGTGCATATACACGAAATCTAGCCAATAAAGTGCCAAAAAACTTGTCCCATGTTCATAAACAAGTACATCAGTTTTGCTCGACTAGCTCAGATACACGAAATGTAACCTAGAACAGCGGAAACTGCTTAACGCGAATAAGATTTAGAATTGAGATACTTGCCATGATTCCAGGAACAGCTGGGGGGATTCTCCTGTGGAGGAGCTTGAGAGTGTAGTCAGCAACTTGCTCAGGGGTGGCCCTCTCCTTGCATTCAGCACCAGGAGTAACCATGCTAGGCTTCAACAGGATACCTTCGAACAAAACATTGTTCTCTGCAAGGTAAAAGAAAACCTCAGCCCAAACTTTCTGGGCAACCTCGAAAGTCCTGTCAATGCCATGTTCACCATCCAGCAGGATTTCTGGCTCCACAATTGGCACCAAACCATTGTCCTACAGGATAAAATAAAGTTTAAACGTAACAAAATTAGTACTCTTTAGAGCTGATCATGAGATAATAAGCTCAAAATGTAGTGTACTTACTTGAGAAATGGCAGCGTAGCGAGCCAGACCCCAGGCAGCTTCCTTCACAGCCAGAGCAGATGGACCATTGGGAATGCTCACAACTGTACGCCTGATTGATTACAAATAAAGCAGTCAATTCATGTGCAAAATATAACCAAAGATTTAGGACACAAATTTTTTGACTCATCAATCTGATTATACTAAATTCTTTTGCCATAAACTTACCATTTGGCAAAACGAGCTCCAGCCTGGTAGTAAGCAGCAGAGCGAGAGGCAAGTCCATCAAGACCTTGGCACCAGGACTCATCATTTGAACCAGCAAGTGGCACCAAACCCTATTATGGAAAAATCCCAGAAAAACCCACATCAAAATTGTTAATTTTAATATCAAACAATCAATTCGCGAAAAAAAGCCCACAAAGTTGACCCTTAATTACCTTGTCAACTTTGATTCCAGGAACAATTTTCTGCTCAACAAGGACATCAACCATCTTCTTGCCATCGGTTGTGGATTGGTACAGAGTTTCCTCAAAAAGGATAGCTCCAGAGACGTAGTTTCCCAATCCAGGAGCAGTGATCAAAAGTGTTCTGTAGGCTTGGCGGTTAGCCTCAGTGTTCTCAAGCCCAATTGAAGCTAGACGCTTTCCACAGGTGGCATTTGACTCGTCCATGGCCAGAATTCCGCGTCCAGGGGATGCCACAGTTTTCTGATGTATTACCACAAATAATTCTCTTAGGTGTTCATGCATTTCAGAAAAATAACTACGAACGATTGATAGTGATTTTTCATTTTATCAACTGATTAGTACGGCTTCCACGTTAGTCATTATGAAGATTCAATGAAAACATTTACCATAACTATCATTAGTCTTATGAAGACGATATTAATTTCATCAACATTTGTAGGAGTTCATGTTACGTTAAAAAGATGGATGGCAATTGGCATGCATATCTATAAGTACTCCTAATGTAATGTCAAATGGCAAGTTAAAAAATTATAGTCGTCATTGAGTTTTGAGATTTGTACTAGTTTTAAGAGCGACATACCGCGGTCTTGACGAGTTCATCGGCATAGGAAGAGGCCCTGATGGAGAGGGAAGATGGAGAGCTGCGAACTGAGACAGGGGAGGCCTGGCGCAGAGTAATGAGACTCTGAGATGAGCCCTTCAAAAACTCAGACTTGTCAAGAACTGGGGATGACTTGAGAAGAGATGCTGAAGCCATTTGTTGTGAATGTTTAATCTAAATTGAAGAACAACAAGAAAAATGGCAGAGCAGTAAACTGGTGACAAATCTTATCTTCTCTTCTCAAGTGAGTGTATAACACTATCCTTCTTCTTTGCCACACGCGTTGTTTAATCAATAGTGTATTTATAATGGTGTAAAATTGGGTTTTTGATCAAAACGATGTCTCATTTGAGGCTATGATACCTTAACCAATTGGAAGGTGCCATGTAGGCAAGGAGTTTTGTCTTCATTGTCAGTAAGGTAGATTGTGAGAAGTGGTTCAAATACAAGGAATTATTCCCACCTTATGTACCTTTTAAAAATGGCAAATATGTGGAAATGATGTGCAAATATGTGGAAAAAATATGAAGCAAGGCTGATATTTTTGCAGGAAGTACAGGACAAGAGAGTGAAAACTCATAAACACATATACTACAATGCTTACAAATGAGTCCAATCAATGAAGTTATGGGGAAATATTCGAGTGGGAAGGGAATATGAGGTGATTATCATTTCTGTTATTTGGAGGGTTTTTTCTTTTTTTTTGTTTGTTTGATTTGGGGTGGATTGGTTTTAATGGCCATTATTTAGCCCCAAGATTTTGTGTTGATTGAGATCCAGATGTTAACCATAGAAGGGTCAATTTGCTGCCAGGTACAGATGATTGGTTTCTGAACCTGTGTCCCTAAAAAAGCCCAAAACTTTGTTCAAATTGAATTCCTGGCCGTGGAACTGATGATTTTCAGTGTTCAGTGGCCTGGGTGTATCAACTTGGGCCTAATTCGAGGGTTTTTGTCACTACTCCAGCAGAATAGGCGGATTCTACCAACATTATGAAATGAATGCTATGCTTATCAAATATAATACTTCTTACGTCCTAAAATGATTATAACTGATGAGATAAAATATTACCAAAGAGAGGTGACATGTAATGGAACACATTTCTCTATGTAGTAGCCATCTTGAGATAACAAGGATGGGGAATGAATCATTTTTATACACATTCTGAAAGGCAAAAGCAGCAGTAGGCCAACACAGTTCATAGCATATACAAAAGATACAATCTCAGTTGAAGAAAGACCATACAGATCCTAAAAGCTTTCTACTCATCGAACGGATAAGTTAAAGTGGAGCGAAATTAACACCAGGTAACTAATTCCAGTCCTTTTTTTTTCACTACAACCCAATTCATTACACTACAAGAACTCATAAATTGACATGATTTTCCAAAGAGAGGTCTGCCATGCTAGAAACAACATCGTCAATTGAATTCTTACCTAAACCCTTAGGAGGTGTGAGCTTAAAGGGACTTTCAGAAAATGCTTTTTCTAGCTCATTTATAAATTCATCATCGGCATCTTCTTCAGCAGGAATGTCCAGATTCCAGACCTTGAAGATTTCCTCGCGAGATTCTGATTCCTCTTCCCAACGGCCCATAGCTGACAGCGATTCAGAATCATTACTCCTGTCATCATCCCAAGCATCCTCCCTGTATGTCGGTAGAAAGACATTTCTCAAGTAGTCAGATTCATCGGACATCAGACGATCAAAATCAGGGTGCTTTTCAGTTTCTTCATTAGTCCAAGTAATACTGTCAGCCCTTTTCTCTGGAGTCCGTGAAGTTGATAAGTCCCCAATTGGAAAGGTCACACCCCGCAATCTTTTTGGAGAAGTGTCGCGTCTGACAGTATTCACCTCATTCAAGGCTCTGTTAAGAGAGCTCCAGGAATCCCATCCCTTACTGGGTTCAAGGTCATCGACTAAGCATGAATCTGCCCAAGCTAAATCGTCTGGCGAAAGCACCTCTGAAGGGAAAACACTACTATCGGATTCCATGCTTTCAAGATCACGTGAAGCTATAGCCTCTTCCATGTCGAATCTGCCAGGAATGGCATACATATTTGTGTGAAAAGAGAAAAATTAAAAATTAAGATTGCTAACATAATCAAACAAAGGATAATGTTGCACTTTCAAAAGGAACCAAAACATCTTGCACAAATATTGAAGCAAACAGTAGTGAACTATCTGTCATGGACAAGCACACACAACACAAATATTTCTGCGAACATTTGGCAGTAACTTAGACATCAACAGCTTGATAAAAAACAGTTACCCAGTCCTCTCATTTTATACTAACAGAACAATAAGAGAAAGAATAACATCATATTCACCTAATTTCAATCACTAAATAACTGCATAAACTAGAAAAGGCATGCTGTTGAGGATCACATAAAGATTTTCCAGTTAATCCACCTTCAATAGAAAGCCCAAAAAGTAACACCTGAAACTCATCTCTAAATTCCTTCAAGCGCCCTAGACATAGCACTTGACAATAATGCGTCTGTCACACGTATGATTTCATTTGAGACTTGTGTAATAGAAACTTAAGTAAAATTGCATCACCATTTCCATGACAAAGTAATTGTTCTTAATAACATAGCAAGAATGCCAGCAATCCATAACTGGAATGAGCAGATCAACCAACAAATACAGGTTAGCTGGGCACCACGAAACCATCATGCCGCATATAAGAAAACCACGGCATCTTGCACAATCCCGAAATTAAGATTCATGTTGCTTGACCAGACAAATGAAAACATCTACAAGAAATTGACAACATTCTAGAGTTTCGTAACATTTACGGCATTAAAGAACAGGATTAAAAACCAACAAGCAGCATCACAGAAAGCCGAGCCAACAATGTACTACCTGAGTAAATAAATTCAAAATCCAAAAATATGCTAGTTAAAATAAGAAAAAGATACTCCCTCCACCCTGAAATGATTGTACAGTTTGGATTTTTATTTTTAGTTCAAATTGTACTGAAAGTGAAATCCCAAACTGGACAATAATTTTGGGACGGAGGGAGTACAATGTTAGTGAGCACAGGAAATGATTGGCAAAATACAGAGACAACATTGACGAGTAGGCGGTACCCATACATACAGGCATCTAGAGATAAAGGGAGAAGCTGACGCCAAATCAGGACTCAAAACTATGGCCATTATTTGTCGGCACCAATAACTTCTACAAAAAGATTTGTGAACCGACTGCACATGTAGAAAGAGACATTAACATGAGCAAATTGAAACAACAGACAGAAAACAGATATACACAAGCAGTTGTGGAAACTTTCACCCGTCCTTCTACAAAGAGGCATGGATACCACTCTCATTTACTTCTTACATAAACATTCTTATCCCATTATGTGAAACAAACCAAAAGGTGCCTCACTACCATGGTTCAGCAGATACTGATCCATCTAGAATAGAGCAAATCCAACCATTTCCATTCATGGATTATCAACAGTCAAAACCTACTCCAACACCAATGTCGCATTCCAAATGAAATATTAGAGACCCTTAAATTGAGTAACTTTCAACAATTTCCCATTTTCACAGAGAAACTCCCAAATCCCTCAAAAAAAAAAAAAACCTAAGGCTTTAACTCGCAATGTTTAATTTACGCAAATTTTTTAATACTATTAACATCCACGAGGTGCAACAAAATTATTAAACACTCAACCTATTAACCTAACCAAACTTCCTTCTGGTTCGGAGCCAAAAACCGAAAACCTCGGACTTGAGACCCGGACAGCACGGCAACAACCAGTCCTCAAGTTCAAATCAACCAAGGCATCAAATTCCCCGGGAAATGATCAGTGATAACACTGATCAGCTCATCATTATTTTACATGCAACTAACAAATTCAGATTAAAAAAAAAAAAGAAAAAAAGAGAGAAACACGCCACCGCCGTTTGCCACTTACCAAACATAAGATTCACAGAAAATTACCTCCAATGTCAGGACGATAAACCGCCGCAATCTGCTTCCCCGGCTCGGCTTGTTGTTTATCTCTTCAGGCTTTTCTACACCAAATTTGAACAGAAGAACACTCTTCTTCTTTCCTGCAAATCGTTTCCGATTCCGGAAGATACGTTTGATTCTATCAATTTCTTGAGTTAATTGTTGAGAGATGTCTTCGCTAGTGGGTTTCGTAAGCAGGCCTGGAATATTTTATGGGCCTAGAAAAGCCCATCTCTAACGGGAAAAGTGTAGGTCCAAACTTCAAAGTAGCGATTTCTTTTTTTTTTTTTTTTGGCAAAATAAAAGTAGCGAGTTACAACTTACTACAAAACATTTCCTCCTATAACTTGTTACAATAAAACTTACAAAAGAAAAAACAAAAATCACTTACCACATAATTGCATAGCTAAATACGTGATTTATATAGTTGATTAACTGATAATTATGATTTTAAAAGTCGTAAAGTAGCAACAAATTTATCAAGGAAAATTTTCACCAAGCTCTAGCAAATCACTTTTTCCACATTCTTCTTTGAAAATCATCTTTGGTCAATGTGGTAAGTATTGTAAATTACTTTTATGTGAAGGGAGAGGTATCAATAAATCTCAAATATTGGAGGATAAATAGTAGTTTCAACAAATCTTATGGAGGCGAATGCAATTAACTTTGTTTTCCATATCTTCTGGGCAGATAATTTTTAATGAAAAATAATTTTTTACTTATATGAATATTATTTTAATTCTTATTGGCACTTTATTTTTTTTTAAATTTTATGAAACTATATATCTAATCATTAATTTTTTATATTCATTCTATGGAAATTGGATTATATAATATTAGTATATTTTTATGTAAATTAAAATTATATCACACTGTTCAAACAATAGATCATAATCTGATTGTAATAATTAACTCTAGTATCTTAGAGTTTTGTTATAAAACCTAAACCCTCAAAGTATAATAAGGAGAATGGTATCGAATGACTTTGATAATATTAGTCCTTGTGCTAAATAAGACAAAAATTAGACTAATTTTTCTTAAGTTATTGTCTAATATTGATTAAAATTTACATCTAAGAAATTTAATTAGACTAGAGTCTAACAAGTTTAAAGCCTAATTGAAAAAAGAAATGAAGAATTTATGTAAATATCAATTATTTTTCTATGAAAAAGTGTAATGAGAGAAGAATTTTTTTTAATAAAAAAAGGGTCAAAAATTAAATAAGAAAAAGTTGACTATTCTTTTTTTGGTTATAACATTAAAGTTTTGATTGACAAAAATAATTTCTAGAATGGTGCATTTAATAATAATTCAGATATACCCGAAATGTACATATTCGGCTCGAATCCGGATTAATAGGAGCAATGACTTTGGACACCGAGTGCGTAATACACAAAAAAAAAAATAATAGTTCAGATATGGCAAGTGCATGAGGTGTGACCCGGGATCATTCGGCCACTGAAAAGCGAGATGTATTATGAAGATTGGCTTTTGCAGACTGAGGATTTATTTCAAAGTCTCAACCTAGGCTGGAGTGTTGGTGGCCGAAAAGTTATAGCCAAAGTTGATATATAGATGTGTGTGTTGAAGACGGTGCACAGAGAGGAGGATGAATCAGGAGTCCATAGTGGTTTTGAAACATTTGTATAGAGATGCCAACTTCGCTGTTGTTTGTATGGAGGATTGCTTCCTGAAAGTCTGAAACCCAGGTGGATATCAATAATTGTTTGTTCCTCCGGTTGAAGTTTGTTTGCGATTGGAACATGACATAATTAATGGTTTCTATCCATAAAATGTGATGATTTCTTATAATTAGATTTTCGCCTCTTTCTTTGTAGAAAAAAAAAAAAAACTGTTGAGTGGCAAGTAAATTTTTTAAAAAACGTATAAGCTCAATTAATATATTTTTTATAATATTAGTTTACCGTTTTGCCTTTAAAAAAAAACACACAAAGTTTTGAATAAATATTAATTGTGGTTAAAATTGCCTATTAATTTTTTGTGATGGTTCAATGTGAGATTATACCTAACTTAAGTGGTCAAAAGTGAGTTTTGTTTTGTACATAGTATGAAAAGTGTAATTGGACGATATAATTTTGGATTCCACATGACAGTACTGTACTAATAGAATTGCGGATTGATTAACACGTAGAAAGCCAACCCGGATGAATAAACCAACTGAACTGAATTGGCCCATTCTCAGCTGTAATTTTGCATTACAAACCGGCGTAATTTCACCGATCACAGCCGGCGTTTGAATACCTGCGGTCATGTTGCCATCGGCAACTTTATTGTGAAGGCCAATCAGTTCTGCGCTGCCCAGAATCTCAAACGGCGGCATCGCAGAGAGTAGAAAAACCCAGAGATGGGGCGATGGTTCTACTATCAATTCAAAACGCTTGATGACGACCAAGAAGAAGACGATGAAGTTCTATTTGGGAGGAAGTCAACTTCTTATGAGCGATGTGGTGAATCGCCGTCGGGGTACAACAGTCGCCGGAGGTGGCCCTGACAGTCCTGTAACGGAAATGGATCATAACGTACGGAAATTACTCCAAGCTTCTTTGTGGACTGCTGAAGCTGTCTATATTCTTTGGCTTTTCTTGCTCCGGTATGCCCCAGTACCTTCCTAATCAAATTTTTAGTTGTAATTTTTACTGCCCATCATAAGTTTTTTCTGGGCTTTAAACTTCTGCGTTTCTTTTATGTTTTACAGGTATTAAGTTCTTTCATTACATAGAGTTCCATTCTAGAATTTTTTTTATTCTAAATTGTGTAAAGTAAACATTGAACTCACTCAAGTTCTGTTATACTGCAGGGAGATCCTGTATGGGCCATTAGTTCGGAAACGATCCATTCCTTAATCGGCGCTTCTCTCAATCTCTTCTTTGTTCTGCCTTTCTTAAATGCTGGTGGGTTGCCAAAAATCTTCTTTTGTTTGTCTGAAAACTCTTTACAGCATTATCGTTTTCCTCTTCATTTCCGAACAACCTTTAGCCCCTTATTGTGTGTCTTGGATACTATCTTGCATATTGTTCATTATATTGCAGTAATCAGTGTTCACTAGATTGTTATTACCTAGATGTGCACTAAGCAAGCTCCTTCCAGTGCCTTATTTCTGCTTTAACTTTTGGCAGAGTAGTTGGATTTCGCTTCCTGGAGGCACCAGTCCTTCACCCGGTAATGCTTAAATTCTAAGTTGATTTTTGGATGAGACATCACAAGCTTTGTCAATTTCGGAATGAACTTACCTCTAAAGCTCTAACACTGAGTTTATTTGTGTTGTTCCTCAGATGTCTGACGGCTTATTCAACTTTGTGATTGCTTGGACCTTGCTTTTTGTGCCGTTGCTGTACACTGATCGGAGGAGAAATAGCTACAAGGGTTCATTGGATATCTTATGGGGCTTCCAAATGATCCTTACCAACAGAAATATCCCCTTTAATTATTTACACTTGACCTGGTTCGCGGTGGTGAATGAATGAATACAAAGATAAAATCATTATTTTGTCTTGCTTGAAAGAACTGCTTAAATTATATACTAGTTTTATTTGTTTTGTCATAAGGTTTGAGACTTTGAATGACGAATGATGCTTAGACCGGTGATCAAGCTTCATCAACACATAGTAACTGATACGTTGCTGCTAGAACTTTTCCAGGATTTTCTTTTGGAGAGGTTGGTTTTCATTGGTAAATCTTTCTTATTTTGTATTGCAGCTTTCTTGATACCATATATGGCTATCCGTCTGAACAAGGATGATGAGACTGTTACTACTAGGAGGACCTCGCCCCTTGGTTCCGTAATGATTAATGGTGCATCATTTGTTGGACTGATCGGCGCAGCTGTTTGTCTGTTATCTGTGCTGTGGGCAATTTATGGACGTGCAGATGGAGATTTTGGCGATGTAGCCAAGAGATTGGATTTTCTAGTGAATCTTCTTGGTTTTGAAAGGCTCGCATATGCCATCATTTGGGATATCTGCCTTTACCCAATATTTCAGCCTTGGTTGATTGGGGAGAACCTACAGAAGTTACCTCAGATTTGTCCCTGTAGTTGGTTTAGTTGCCTACTGTATATGTTTGAACGTTGAGGAAGATGCATAGTGAACTACTTAAAAAAGTTAATAACATCAATATTTTACGTCTAGATGAGCTTGAATTCATTAAACATAAGGTGAATGGTTCATTTCAAAGTATTCTAATTCACGAGAAAGTACACTATCACATCAATGCGTAACTTATGCATAAGTTTTATTGTTTTACTCATAAATCATAAGTGGCTGGACTATATTGATAAAATTTTTATAGTGTTTTGATTGAGAAAAATATAAGGTCAAACTTCAAAGGTAGCGAGTTACATGTCCTCTTGTAACTTGTTATAAAGAGCCTCAAAAAGAAAGGGGAAAAAAACCCGCTTACTACATATTACTACATATTGTTACCAAGCTCTAGCATATTATTTATTTTTCGCATTCTTATAGAAATAAATGTATTATTCTTAGAACATCATCTTTTGTTAATATGGTAAGTATTATAAAGAACCTTTTAAGTCAAGAGAATCTCAAATATTAGAGGATAAATAGTACTACCTCGCTTCCAAAAAAAATTATCCGTATTGAGTTTTCAAATTTGTACTAAAACTAGTATAAATCTCAAAACTCAACGTGGACTATTTTTTTGGAACGGATGGATAGTTTACAAATCTTATGGGAGACAAATGCAATTAACTTTATTTTCCATCTCTTTTGGGCAAATAAATAGAAAGGAAATCAAAATATGCGATGGATAGAGATACAGAGCACTTTTCATCTTGCTTGGCTCCAAATCCTACACGATCACCACACAAAATGCTACCAAAATGAAAACTCTTTGAAAACATAAATCCTAGTTTGTGGCTTCGAAACCCAGAAATTCTGAATAGAAACAACATTTTCTGCAAACACAATGGAGCTCACCTTCTCGAACTCTATTTCCTCCACTCTTTGTATTTCTCCTCGAGCTGCATTCTCAGTAAGTTGATTGCTGAAGCTGAATTTGGGGAACATAACCCACATTACGGATTCTGATGTTTTTCTTGTTTATCTGGATGATTTTTTTTTTTTCAGGGTTGCGGGTGCAGGGTTACGAGTATTCGGTGCATCAATGAGTCTCAAAGGGTAATGTGTGTTCTCATGGTTCAAGTTTATTGATTATCGAAATTGATGGTTTTAATAGAATTGCGTAATCGTTGAAATCTTGGTGAATTTTGAAGCTGTCATTATTAAGTGGTTTTCAGTGAATTGGATACTGTTGCTTAGCCTTTTCAACTGGGTACAGGAAAATCAGATGATTGTTTCAATCACCGGAGCCACAGGGTTCATTGGCAAGAGATTGGTCCGAAGGTTACATGCAGGTAGCTCTGTAATCTTGTGAATATCATGATGGTTTTTTTATGGTTTACGTTTTTACAGTTGCAGGGAAAAAGTGGTAAATGTTGTGTTAATAATGTAAAGACGTGTCTTGGTTGCATTGAGTGTTCTAAATTAGCAACGCATTCTTGTTTGAATGGGGAATGTAAAGATTTTTGGATAGCAGGAATCCACTTTCTTTTAACTAAAATAGCAGCAGTAATGCACATTTATTAAGGAACGAAAAAATTGGTTTGGATGCGAGTCTGGTATCTTATGTCTTTCACTTTTTCTTTCTTTTTGCTAAGAAGTATGAAATTGGGATGGATTCTAAGAGTGGTCGTGTTTGTTGATGATAAAAAGAGGCAACCATGGCAATATCCATTGTCGAAACGGAAGTTGAAAACTTTGCTGAACAATGAACTATTTTCTATGGAGAAATAAACCATTGGAAAATTGCACAATAGTTATAAACTTGCTGAACACTTGCAAAATGTTGGTCTGAGGACTGATGTATTCATGTTATTAATTGTCCTTTCAGATAATCATCAAGTCCGAGTCTTGACAAGATCAAGGAATAATGCCCGAGCAATTTTCCCGGGTAAGAAGGTAATGATTACGTGCATACTTTTTTTTTCTGTTTACTGTAGATGATATGACAAGTTTCTTGATTGCTACAATGTCTACCAAATACTACTTTTAGTCAGAGCCTTACAAGTACTGGAATCCACATCATTTGGAGATTTCTTTGCCGACATTTGCTTAAACTTGTTTCCTATTGTCTCTGATGTTAGTTTAACCAATCATATTGTTCAGCCAAGGAATTTCCAGGAGTCGTCATTGCGGATGAGTCAGAGTGGAAGGATTACATTCAAGGGTCAACAGCTGTAGTGAATTTGGCTGGAATGCCCATTAGCACAAGATGGTCTCCTGAGGTATCTTCATATTAACTCCTGATATGTGCTCCCCAGCTTGTGTTGCATGGTTTATATCAGTTCCTTAAATGAAGCCTTTTAAGTAAATGTTTGCTTTCATAGCTTGTTTCTTTACAGCTTTTACCATGTGATCAACTTCTGGATATGTGTTAACAGTCGCTTCAAATGTGCAATGCAGATCAAGAAAGAGATTAAGCAAAGCAGGATTAAAGTAACCTCAAAGGTGTGGAAATCTAGTCAATAGGTTCTTTCAGTTTGCCAATCTTGTAAGAATCTGATGTTTATTTGGTCTTTACCTGGATTCACCTTGATCCTTATGCAGGTGGTACAGTTGATAAACAATACAAGTAGTGAAATTCGGCCCAAAGTTCTGATAAGTGCAACTGCTGTAGGCTATTACGGTACTTAATTTATTGCACATTTCTGTTATTCTTGCATATGTACTTGTTTAATTTATAAGGAACCATATATTCAGAACAACTTTCCTATAAATCCCAGAAGGTTACATTACTTGCGTCACGTTTGATGATAGAAAACTGGAAACTGTAAACTAGAAATGGTTCTGAACTTTGATAGCTAATCCCTCTACCTTTCATGATATCTTTAAATTCAGGAACCAGCGAGACTCAAGTTTTTGATGAAAAAAGTCCATCCGGAAGTGACTATTTGGCTGAGGTAGCCTTCTGCTTCTTTTTCAGTCAAGTTCTTCTTTGTTAATGATTGCATCTCCGAATTTCTGGTTTAATCATCGCACTGCTCCTGAACCTGCATCTTCGTTCTCAACAGGTTTGTAGAGAATGGGAAGCCAGCGCCCTTAAAGTTAATAAAGATGTCAGGCTAGCCTTGATTCGCATTGGTGTTGTCCTCGGAAAAGATGGTGGCGCTTTGGGTAAGGTTCTTACCATCATAAGCATTTTCTTAAGTTTAAATGCTGAATATCAGGTTCCTAGTAGGTGTGACTGATGCAATGTGTATGAAAGAAAACGTGTCTCTCCTAGAAATCGCAAGATGATAAGAAACATTTATGTCTTTCAGTTCACAAGAACATTTGTCTTTTCATTTATGCCAACAGTTTCTTTACTGGTTCTATTCTTGAATCAAAATTTCTTTATCTGACTATTGCTTAATGTTTAACTCTATGTTTTATCTTCAACAGCAGTCAACATGTGTTCAATTGATGATACATTGTCTTGTGATTTGCTTGGTAGTTCAATGATTGTGACGCTTAAACCATTTGTGCTCCTTGGTCTCTGCAGCTAAAATGATCCCTATTTTCATGATGTTTGCCGGTGGACCTCTGGGCTCTGGAAAACAATGGTACTACAGTGCTTTTGTTCTTCGAACAAACCTCTAGGCCGTGTGTATGTCAATGCGTGGTTTACTTTTAGCAGAAACACTTGAAATCACAGCATTTCTCAATTCTGTTCTGTAGGTTTTCGTGGATTCATGTGGATGATCTGGTAAACTTGATTTATGAAGCTTTGTCAAACCCATCTTATAAAGGCAAGTCCATTGCAAAACACAAGCATTCTTCATACCATTGACGATTTTGTTCAACATATAGACAGACAGATGATTGATTCTTGCAAGCTAGTTCAAAATTGCATTTCATGTTGCATTTTATGTTTCATGCTTCCTCTACAGCCAAACTTTTGCACCTCAAATACAACTTTTTAGAACCCCGAGATTAGCTGAAAATGTGAAATGCAGATTTTGCCTGTATGATAAACTTTGACGGGTTCTAACTTCTGGATGGTGATTGTTTTGTAATAGGAGTCATCAATGCCACCGCACCAAATCCAGTTAGGATGGGGGAGATGTGTGAACACCTGGGATCTGTTATAGGCCGGCCATCCTGGTTACCTGTACCGGACATTGCGCTCAAGGCTGTTCTTGGTGAAGGTGCTTCAGTGGTAACTCCTGATTCCAACTACTTTCACCAGATAAGGAAAACCATATCGGGTCATTTACATTCTTTGTATTTTCTGATTAGGTTCTGGAAGGACAAAAGGTGCTCCCCACTAAAGCTCAGGAACTAGGTTTCCCTTTCAAATATCGATACGTAAAAGATGCATTGAAATCCATAATGACGACTCAGTGAGCAACAGATTAAGTTACAGGCACATTCTTTGATTTTGGTGATCATATTTGCTTAGATCAAAACTGAGTAGATTCCAACTTTCTCCGATATAGAGAGAACACTACACTGTTAAGAGGGAGCGCGAGCAACTAATTTTTGGGTGGTTTTTGTACAACTTGCGAGACTCGCATATTTATTTATCGTTCGCTGTGTCATTGCTGTACTGTCTAATTTCATCGAATGTGAGCTTTCAATCTGCTAGTACATGAATCGGATTCCTTCCAAGTATTGCTTATTTTCATCACTTTTTCATTTTTTTTTTCCAATGGAGGTTTAAATGTAAGACACTAACTAAAAAGTAATCGTAAATACTTCAGAGATTAACCCCGTTCAGCTTCGTCAGCTCCAATTCCAGCCCATAAAAAAAGAAAAATTCACAACACAAATATTCAAGAATTAGACCTGTGCAAAAAGATTTAAGACAAATGGTTCTACTTCGCAACAGCAATTATTTTGGGAAACTAGTACCATTAGAAATATGATTAACAAGAAGATGGTCAAAATCAACGCTGACCAAAGATTGATAGATCATAAAAGTCAGATTGAGCCCGTGCTATATAAATGAATCATCTGAAGGCCTTCCGTCCTGAACCATGAAGGTCCAACCTGAAGTCCATAAATGTTACAGCTAGGTACTATATTTGTGTACATAACTTATCCCTTCAATGAATATTTCTTCCCTGTGAAAGGCTGGAACTTTGGCTCTTCTTTCTTTTCAGGCTCCTTTTTAGTTTCTTTAGCCTGTTCCTGCAGAACAGAAACATCAACCTTCAGCTTCAAAACTAGCAGGAGGAGGGAATACGTTCAGTCCATTAGAAACATAAAATGGGTGAAGTGAAATTCCCGAAGAAACAAAGTAACAAAATAGAGGGTAAAAAACTTTAACTTTGCTAAGCATGCTACAACTAAAGAAATGGGCGCAACAGAGTACCTTTTGCGTCTCGCGAGGGCGACTTGGGTTTGAGCCAAAGACAAGTTTCCCTTGAGACTGTTGACTGCCAGCACTCTGTGAACTTGACCCTGCTGAGGGACGTGCACCACCATTAACGACATCAGGTCGCTTATCCTTGGAACTGGATGAAGCAACAGATGGAGGTGGGTAGCTTGCGGATCTCCCATCCAAACGTCTACCCACACCACTAAATGGGTTAAATTTTGGTTCGGCATCAGCAACTTCAGCTTCTTGACCTTCATTAATGAACAATTAAACATTACTGCAAACAATTCAGAACTTGGATACATCTAAATAACATCCTTCCACAGAATGATGGAAATAAACAAAGGTTCCATAAAGTACTAATACTGGAAAGCAGGATACTATAGATGTGAATTACAATTTCTTTTAAACAGAATGGAATTTAAAATGTTGCAAGCTTGACCAATTTTTTTAATTAATCATAACTTCCTCCTCAGCAGCTTTTCCAAGATAATAATACATCAGACAACATAATTTTCACAAAACATTGGATCCCCAAACATTGACAAGAAGATCCTTGAAAATGCTAAATCTACAGTGAGATCATATCATCACTTGCAATAAGTATTTATAAGCATAAGCGGAGGTCTCCATCGCAAAAGAATTATTTCACACGTTTTCATGATTCTGCCAATTACGATATGCATTTCTCCCACCAAGAACAACTTTTCACAAATTTATATACTTAAAAGAGAGGAGAACATCACACACCTCCAGCTGGTGCCTTGCCTGACACAGGAGATATTGTAGGTTTTTCAGGTTCCTTGTAATCCAAGGGAGGAGCAAAATCCACCTCACAGTCTGTTTCAATAATACTTATGGCATTCGAAGGCTTTGCCTCCACAATATCTATGTAGTACTTCTTATTGTTATAAGCAACCATGATACTGTCCCCGGTTGTTAAGCAGGAAAAGTTCCTTAGTGTCGTCTCCAAGCTGCAGAAGTTAAAAAGAAAAAAATAGGGTAAGAACTTGATCAACATCAATTTAATCTCTAGTATCGCATCAAGTACAAAGCAAGAAAAAACTACCTTGTCATCACTACCAGATTTATGACACACAATACTGACCAAAATACATAGATAAAACAGATGAGAACATTACAAAATAGTTCAGAATCTACGTAGCAATAAATCAATCAACAGCTCCCAATGGCCATGCCAATAATCTGGATCACATTATTTCTAAACGTTCTAAAGGAAACCTTTGGCTTATAAATCCATTTTGCATGTTAAGTGCATGCTAAGAGTATAGTGATCAGTTAGTAACATAATGAGCCAACTGAATGCAAGAAGGAAACCCCAGAACTGTGTCCTAACACAATACTGGTGTGCACTTTTATTGCCTGAGAGTAGAAACAATTCCTTTACCAGTAACACCAGATGGCGCTACTGAAATATCACCTAGGGCTAGTTAACAAAACAAATTAAAAAGCCTTCAGAGTACTTACATGGCTTTGGGGTTGGAAATATCCAAGAAGTCCGTTGTGTGCGGTTGTAACTTCACATATGTACCCTTGGGAAGAGTCACATTTTTCACACGCACGATATCTCCTTCTTGTAAAAGCAAATTCTCCATCATCTACATTAACAAATCTAAACTAAATAACAGGCATATACATTCAAACTAATTACAGCTAAAAGGACAAAACATATGCCTACCCAATATGGCATATATATCATGCCTTCTTCGGCAATAAACTCTAGAACCCCGCAATGAGAAACCCTATCTGTCGCAGCATTTCGAAGCTCAAACAGCATCGGATAGTCAATATGAAGAGATGCTGCAGAAGCAAAAATCATGTTGCCTTTAAGCCACAACCAGAAACAAGGGCACACATTAATAAATGGACCCAACAATCCAAGAAAATAAAACAACTAACCGAGACGGTCAAGAGCAGATGGTGGCATTATAACTGTCAAACACGGAGAAGGAAGACAAAATAAGATGACGTGCAGACAATAAGGCAAAGAGAAAAAAAAATACAGTGTAACCACAAACTAGAAAATAAAACTCACTTTTATCTCCATTCTCTATCTGAGGCTGCAGGTCCAAAAAAGCAAAAGCATCAGAAAGTGAAAAAAGAAAAAAACCCATTGATCCAACAATACTACAAATGTAAAGCAAAATACAAATGCTAATGGAAACCACATAACCTTATCAATAAAAGAGGCTGGATAACAGCGGTATGTTTGCTCAAATGATGTTCCATGATAGCCATAACCATCAAAATACTGCAAAGTCACAAGGAATATAAATAAGACGGTAGCAAGCATAACTGTAGTTACTGAACAGAAGGATAACCCAAAAAAACTGGGCAGCATTCATGCCTATGCAAAGGGTGGCACGTAAGGTGTGCAATCCGGAAAGTAGAATGACAAAAACAGTATGATTTAATAACATTTTGACTTTCCTTATTACGACAAGTTTGCCTCTTCACTAAAGTCAAATGGCATTAAAAGCAACCTCACTTCATTCAAATTCTTAGTGAAAAATGTAACACGATAACACTAAGAATGTAACACGTGTAGCCCACTCTCCGATTGAAAAAGAACACGAAAAATCCCACATAGTCAACAAAAACAGAAACATCTACAAACGAGTTGCTAAAGCATCACGAACCAGTTTTCAAATTAAAAAAAAAAATCTGAATTTCCAACATGAACTACAGGATTTAAGGCCAAAAACACCATAGAAACAGCAACTTCCAAGAATGAGTTTTCCACAACGCCCCAAATCAGCATTATTAATAAGTTAAACCCCTCCAAAACGAAACACTTCGAGAAATTAAAGACCTTCCGATCAACATAAGCTTACCCAAGCATACCGTTACCATGACCCCATCTTTCTCCCTCCATAAATTATACTATAATTCCAGATTATAACACTTATTACAACCACCAAAGAGAATTCGGAACCACAGCTAATTCCATTCCTCTACTAGAAAATTACTCACTTGATTAAAGACTAGGCACGCGTAAACATCAAAAACTGCGATCATCAAACAAGGTAAGCAAAATTTTCTCAAAGTAAAAAACAAACAGGAACTTCTCTTTACCATGATTGCAATCTCAAAACAGCCACAACAAGCGCTCAGCTCACTGTTCCACAAAACCTATTAAGATAAATCAAATCACAGATAACAAAGCTTAAGAATTTCTGATACTAAAAGATCTATTAATGGATTTTCAATGGGAAAATTCCCCCAATTTTAGAATTAGGGCTTGGGATAACTGATTAAAATTTCAATCTTGATGAAGAAATTTAAACCAAAAAAAAAAAAAGTAACCTGACGAGAGAATCGAATGACTTCGCTGAGACCCCCCTTGGAAGTTGGAAAAAGAACAGAAAAAAGAATGTGAGGAGGATGGCTAAGATGCGCCGCTGGCTTATTGTACACGCCATGTGTCCTTCTGCCACGCGTTATTGGGCCTTTGAACTGTAATTTGGTACGGAATTGGATTGTGAAGGCCCAATTTAATTAGCTATTTGAGAAGAGTGCTATTGCGTACTATATAAATAGATCAAAGGTAGCCCAATGCGATGGTCCTTATTTTCTCAAATATATTCACTTGACGTGTAGAGGAGTAGAAAAAAATGATAGTGCTTGATGTTTTATTTTAGTTTTTGGTTTAGTTTTTGATTTGAGTTTGAGATATGATTTAAAATATATTTTAAGAGAGAAAATTTAAAAATTTATTTGGAATTAAAATAATATCATTTTTCTACCACTACCAGACTACCTCCACCACTCACCTCCGTCACCGGACCACCTGGTTGCCGGTCGGTGGTGGAGGAGGGGGACCGGCTGACGGAGGTTGGTGGTGGAGGTGGTTTGGCGGTAGTAGATAAAATTTGTGTTAAAATAATGTTTGAAATAATTTTTAAAAAGTAAGTTAAAATATTTTTTGAATATATAGTATATTGTGTTTTGTGTTTAAGGGAGAAAATAAGACAAAATGCAAAATGGGAGGCCATCCAAACAAGCCTAAGTTTCGATATCTTAAATAAAGTTTTGATGTCCAAAATTATTGTCCAGATCGGACAAAAATTGTCGGTAAGAAAAAATACATATCATAACTACTCCTCTTATTCCTTATTATAAGAAATTTTAATTTGTCATAAATTTTTATTATATTTTTGTAATTAAAAAAGAAATTTTAAACATTCTTTATAATAATTAAGATAACACAATAAATATCAAGATACATTTTTAAAGTTTTTATTTTTAATTAGTAAACATAATAAATGAAATTTAAAAAAATATCAAATGCGAACCGGAGGGAGTATTATTTTAGATATACTAATTAATGCAGTCATGTAATAGTCAGAGTCATAGAAGAGATGCAAGGTATCTCTCTTTTTGCCTCATTATAATATTTTTTTTTCTTTTCAAAAAGGCCATGCATGCTATTCGATCACAGGAATTGAATAATTAATTAACACAGAAAGTATCAAGTTAATTTGTGTTATCATTTTCATCACAGTCATTAGATAGATGACACCAATCCCGTTAATCTTAGTCTAAAAAATATGTATAGACTTGGCCCGTTAAAATGAGATAGAAGATAATGCACAGATCTTGTTAACACACCATTCGCACAAAGAAGAAAGTATAATATAGGGTTAGAAAAACGAGCTGATCAATCTTCAAATGATATGTTTTTTTTTCTTCTGCCAAGTTGATGGTTAATTACAGAACTGACCAGTTATTGTCCCCCACATTAGGCGCTTCATTCATAAAATTTGGAACTACAGAATGTGGAGAATAAATTTAATCTTGCAAGAGAGCTGGGTGAACGATTATTTTAAAGTACACTTGCGAGCTCATAGTTAAAGTCAATCCAGGTTCTACAATTTACTAATGGCAAGTAGTAGTTAAGTTTTCTGATTTCCATCTAACATGGAGGAAAAAAAGGGTTCTAACCAAAAAAAAAAAAAGAGGAAAAAAAGGATCACAAGATCATTACTGTTTGAAAGGAAGATCTACTCTATTTATCCCATGAAAAGATATTTATATTTGTTATACAGGGTGATTCAAAAAATAAAACTTCTCTTTTTAATTGTCAAAAATAGGGGGGGTATGAGACTGTTTAGAATATCTGAGTGTTGAATTTGCATATGTTTATTAAAAAGTACTCCCTCCGTCCCATACTTATTGTCCAGTTTGGATTTTCATTCTAGTTTAAATTGTACTAAAAGTGAAATCTCAAACTGGACAATAATTTTGGGACAGAGGGAGTATATAGTAGTTTTAACAAAGTTTTAGCATGATGTTACGTAAGGAATTTTTATCCTAGGTTGCTAAGGCCATAGCTGACTCAGGATTAAGTTTGTGTTATGTAATTTCTGTTATATTGCACACATACGTTTGAGAGTGGTGTGCACAATATAACTCTCTACACTTAGTAATATTGAAATCAACTCTATTTAATTTTCTTAGGGGGAATTTTATTTTTTTTTCTTTTATAAAGTGACGTTTACCTTTATACTGATCTAGAAAGGGTACATGCGTGCAACTGATAATTTTAGTACTCAGCCAATTACCCTAAAATAATATTCCCTTCTCCTCTCTCAAATCCTTAAAAAGCACCCACCCTCTAAAACATTTTTGTTTCGATTTCGCTTTCTAAGTTTCAATATTCTCTTCATAGTGTCTTTATCAAATGGGAGTGGTCCTGAATCCTGCCTCATTTAGTGGAAGCTTATACGTTTTCTTTGAATAAATTCGGAAATTATACGCTGGCGCTTGATATTCATGCGCTATTGCGCAGCGTGAAGCTTGCATCTGTGCGCCCAATGCGTAGATTTTTTTTTTAATTAAGTTTTTGGGTTTTAAAATTTTCTTTAATCTTCAAATGATTTTATTTCATAATCCGCAAAGAGTTAGACCAAGTGTCTCATATAATTTTGATTATACTTGATGAGATCTATCCAATAAGATTCTCATGAATATGTTTTTTATAATTTAAAAAAATTTATTAAATAACCTTGGTCTTCCCAAAAGACACTTTGATCTTACTTGTTGCTCCTAAGTATTTTGTACAAATAGTTCGGTCTTTTTATTTGTTGCTGTAGGTCTTGACTTTTATGTATTCCCCTTTGTCTTCCTGGAAGACACAATGGCCATGCTTATTTGTGCCGTAACACGATTAACCTTATAAATTTTTTTAAACCAATTAGGCCCTAGTCTAATTGGTTTTTAAAAAAATTTAAAACAAGAAAAAAAAATTTGGACCAAGAAAAAAAAAATTAGTATGTGTAGGGTTTAGGTAAGCTTGACCATTTCTGTGTCGGTTAGGGTCTAGTTGTTTAGGGCTTAGGGTTTAGGGGGTTTAAGCATTTCCGTATCGGTTAGGGCCTACTTTGTGCCGTAACACGATTAACCTTATAAATTTTTTTATACCTAGAAAAAAAAAGTATGTTTAGGGTACAGGGGAGTTTGACCATTTCTGTGTCGGTTAGGGTCTAGTTGTTTAGGCTTTAGGGTTTAGGGGGGTTTAAGCATTTTCGTGTCGGTTCGGGCCTAGTTTGTGTCGTAACACGATCAACCTTTAAATTTTTTTAAACCAATTAGGCTAGTTGGTTTGAAAAAATTTAAAGGTCAATAAAAAAATAGTATGTTTAGAGTTTAGGGAGGTTTGATCATTTCTGTGTCAGTTAGAGTCTGGTTGTTTAGGATTTAGGGAGATTTAAGCATTTCCGTATCGGTTAGGGCCTAGTTTGTGCCATAACACAGTTAACGTTATAAATTTTTTTAAACCAATTAGGCTAGGATCTAATTGGTTTAAAAAAATTTAAACCAAGAAAAAAAATTAGTATGTTTAGGGTTTAGGGGGGTTTAACCATTTCCGTGTCGGTTAGGGTCTAGATGTTTAGGGTTTAAGGTTTAGGGGGGTTTAAGTATTTCCGTGTTGGTTAAGGCCTAGTTTGTACCGTAACACGATTAACCTTATAAATTTTTTTAAACCAATTACGAGACCCTAGCCTAATTGGTTTAAAAAAAATTTAAACCAAGAAAATAAATAATATGTTTAGGGTTTAGGGAGGTTTGACCATTTCCGTATCGGTAAGGGTTTAGTTGTTTAGGGTTTAGGGGAGTTTAAGTATTTTCCATGTCGATTAGGGCCTAGTTTGTGCCATAATACGATTAACCTTATAAATTTTTTTAAACTAAGAAAAAAAATTAGTATATTTAGGGTTTAGTGGGGGTTTGATCATTTCCGTGTCGGTTAGTGTCTAGTTGTTTAGGGTTTAGGAGAGATTACGTATTTCCGTGTCGGTTAGGGTATAGTTTGTGCCGTAACACAATTAACCTTATAAATTTTTTTAAACCAATTAACTTTGGTCTTTGGTCTTGGTCTCTGGTCGTTCGCTTTCGTTCTTTGGTCTTTGGTCGTTGGCCTTCGATCTTTGGTCTTTGGTATTTGCTCTTTGATTTTTGGTGTTTGGCCTTTGCTCCTCACACAACGCTCGCTCTTTTACTCTGGTCTTTGGTCTTCAGTTTTCGCTCTTTGGTCTTCGATTTCTTGGTCTTTGGTCTTTGGTTTTTGTTCCTCACACACACTCGCTCTTTACTCTAGTCTTTGTTCTTTTCTCTTTAGTATTCAATTTTTGATTTTTGGCCTTTGGCTTTTGGTCTTTTTTATAGGTCGTGGTTATAAAAGAAACAAGTAAAACCAAGGTTACTGCATAACTTTTTTTACGTTTCGAAAAACATATTCATGATGGATCTTGTTGGATAGCTCTCGTCGAGTACTATCAAAATGATATAAGACACTTGGTCTAATTATTCACGGATTAAGAAATAAAAGGATTTGAAAATTTAAGAAATTTTTAAAATTCAATTCCTAAAATTAAGGGGAAGGGGTGCATGAGTTGCTCATTAAAAAAAAATTGAGACCAGCAAAACAAGAGGATGTTGTGCGCGCGTGTGCTCACATTAAGTGCATCTTCCAACATGCACTTAATGCTTATGTTATAATAACTCGAATAAATTAAATTAGGGAATGTCTAATGGAAAGTGACAATTTTGCCTGGATATTTCGTAAATGAAGTTGTGATAATGTTTTTTTTTATTATTGATGTAATCCAGTTATCACAACACTGTATTCATCTCATTTTAACCGTTTTTTTTGTTAAAGGAGATTAAACTATATACAACGAAATGAATTATTGAAATGCGACGGAGGGAGTAGATAAACTAATTCCTGTGGATGTCTATTTGCCAGGCTGTCCACCTAATCCAGAAGCATTTATAGAGGCTATAACAAAATTTTGTAAGAAAATGTTTTGAGAAATTTCCGAAGATTGAATTAGGTTTGAACGAGTGAACCGCTGTTTTAATTCCAATCATAAGTTTCATATTCGATGAAATATTCGTATTGGAAAATCTGATTCTGATAAAGGATTCCTTTCTCAATCGGACTATACGGCAACGGAATTGAGATCTTATTGAAAGAGAAAAATCTCAAATATCTGGAGTTTATTTTTGGAGCAATTAACTTACTTCAGATTTTGAATCTTACGATAAAGAAACACAAATGAAGTTTGAGATCAGAGTCGCTCGCCTCTAGAAAACATTCATAAATTAAACTTCCATACTGTCTCTGCGTCGATCAAACGATATCGATCACAGAATTACAACAAAAAGTAACACACAAGAGACTACCGTCGTTTGGGTTACTATTATAGGAAACCAAAGGGGAAAGAAAAAAACAAAACAAAACAAAGGAAACGGAAAGACAACACAAGATGATGAGGCACTGCATATGCATGCATGCATGCGTTGCATACACTTACGTACGCCATCCCTCTCAAACTCAAATTATTGTAAGACTAATAACCAAAGCAAAGCTTTATTATTGATGGTCGACTCTGATATTTGATGGCCAGAGATGGGCAATTTTTTTCCCCATCAGAGAGCTCCGGCGACTGTGACTTGGAGCTTCAATCCGCGAAGGCAGTTAGCTCTATCAGCAATGAAGTAGTGAACGCCGGCAACGTCGCAAGTGTATGTCAGCGCGTTGATGATTGTGGAAAACGATGAAACGGAGAAATCGCAATTTTCGTATCCAGCTGCATCCACCTTGTACACCAGAACTGGTGATAACGGAGCAGGAACGAAATCTACACCAAGAAAACCAACAAAAAAAAAAGAGGCAATAAGCAAATACTCCTTACATCTGTAGTCTTAAACCGTGCATAGTCACATGATAAGTAAAAAATCCATTTTGAGTTTTGAGATTTGTACTAAAAATAGTAAAAAATCTCAAAATTTATTGTGATCTATTTTTTTAGAACAGAAGGCAGAAGGAGTATCAAACAATCTTAAAAAAAGAAAAGAAAAAAATCAGATGAATCTTTTAAACTTACTGAGGATGTCTAAAAGTTGGACTGTCTTGGTGGTTACGCCACTAGCTAGGCATAACGATGGGTCCCAGTTAATGTTGCAAAGACTGGCCAAACTTGGCGAGGCCGAAGCTAAGCCCATGATGATGAGCAAACAAACGAACTTAGTGGTAGTGGACTAGTAGCTGAGGCCATTGTTGATGAATATTGAAAGTTTTTTTTGGGCTAAGGAAAAATGAAACAATTGCAGAAAAATACTCTTAAAAATTAAAGTTTCTTGTTGTTTTTGGGGTGGGTTGAAGTGGGAAGAACTGCAAGGTTTATATAGGCGAAGTGAAGTGAGGTAAGGTTTGATAAATATTGCAACTTGGCTGTACTTTGCTACCACGAACATACTTGAATGCCGCCATGACTAAGGGTATAGTAATATATTAACTATATGTACACATGCAAATGATTATTTTTATTAAATGAAAGAATAAGTACATTAGTACTCGGCCAATGACCATAAAAGTAATTTTCCCATTCTCTCATGCAAATTCTTAAAAGGTGCCCACCTATAATTTTTATTTTTATTTTTTTAAAAAAACCATTTTCTAAGTTTTATTCTCTTATTATTAGTGTCTTACCAAATGGGAGTGTTCCTACCTCACTTAGTCTCTCCAAGTGACAATTTCGCCAAAATATTTTAGTAATAGTTAAGTTGTTGTAATTGAGAATATATATGATTTTGATGATCAAGTTATAATCATTATGCTATATTGAACTTATTTTAATCGGTTTCATTTGTTAAACTAAACGAAATTGTAGTATAACAAAATCGACTATTAAATATGTAAGCAATCAAGTGTGTATTAGAGTTTGAATATTGGAAAGAACTAGTAATGCTCAAATCATGACACAAATGAAGTTTATTAATCAGAGTCGCTCTGGAAAACATTCTAATTAAACAAACGAAACCACAATCTCTGCGTCGATCAAACGACAGATCACAGAATTATAACCAAAGTAATACAAACCGCAAACAACACTGTCGAACGCGTTTGTGTTAAGACACCAAAAAACAAAAAGAAACAAAGGAAAACGATGGAGATGATGAGGGTATACTAATGCAACGCATGCATGCAGGCATTATTGCATACTACGTGCGTATCCAAACCATCTCAAATTATTGTAACATAACATTACTACTAACTAATGCAAAACTTATTGATTGATTTGTCGACTCTGAAGTGATGGGAAATTTTCCATATTACAGAACTCCGGCGACTGTCACGTGGCCTTTCAATCCGGCTAGACAGTTAGCTTTATCAGCAATGAAGTAGAGGTCGCCGAGAAGGTTGCAAATGAATGGGCTGGCGATGACGTTGACAAACGATGAAACGCTGACTTCGCAAGCGGCGAAGCCAGCAGCATCAACCTGGTACACCACAACTGGTGATACCAAACTAGCGACGTCGAAAGCTAGACGAACAAATTAAACAAAGAAACAAAGGAAAAAAAAAGTCAATATATAAGAACAAATGTATTTAATTATTCTTTCGATATACAACTAATAAAGACATCGATATATTTGCTATCCGTTCCAGAAAAATAATCCATATTGTAGTATGTACTAAAAATAATACAAATCATAAACTGTAATGCAAATCATTTATTCTTATTTGATTTTATTTTTTTGGACAGAAGGAGTATTATAATTTATCCAACCTAATAATATCCTTAATAGATCCAAAATCTTAAACTCCGCATGATAATGACATAATTAGTAATAATTTAGAAAACAATAGGACGATCTCTTTCGTTTTGGATCAAACAATCCTTTAAAAAAAAAAAAAAACAGATATAATGAACCGAGCTGACTTACTGATGGCCTCTAAAAGGTTAACTGTCTTGGTGATGGGGCAACTAGCTGGGCATAACTTTGGGTCCCAGGTAATGGTAAGGGCCGAACTTGGTGATGCCAAAGCTAAGCCCATCATGATGAGCAAACAAGCAAACTTAGTAGTTGCTGAGGAAGAAGAAGCCATTGATGAATGGAAGTTTTTTTGGGCTGAGGAAACTGAAACAGTTGCAGAAAAATGCAGGAGATGCTCTTAGAGTGAAAAGTTTCTTGTAGTTTTTGGGGTGGTTTGAAGTGGGAAGAAATGCAAGGTTTATATAGGCGAATGGAACTGAGGAAAGGTTTGATAAATATTGCAACTTGGCTGTACTTTGCCACCATGAACATACTTGAGTTCCGCCATGACTAAGGGCTAGGGCTTCGGGGTTTGTAACAAACACCTCACCGTCCATTAAAGTTTTGCTAAAATCTTGTCTGCAATTAACAATCACCAATTTGCTGAATAAATATAATTACTCGTGGCAACCTTCATTTATGTGCTAAAAGCAACTTGTCTTTAGTAATCAAAATGGTATGTCTTGCAATTAATAATCCATTCCAATTTCCAACCACAAACAAGCCTGTTTTTGGTAAGAAAATTGATTTTCATTATTACAAGTTCATTTCTCAACGATTGAATCAAGGCTTATTTTGTTTCAACATTCAGAATTAATGTAACATTAGTTCTAATAATTAATTTTGTTTGACTAATTTGAATCACATCCTACGTACAATTGGATTTTGAACTCGGGGAGATTTATCCAACTAAAATTCTAAATCATGAGAAATGATTCAAAGCCTCAAAGGTAAATGTAACTGTTGACACTAAGCGATCTGGTCAACATTTTATATTTTCCTTTCTTCTTGCTTTGTGTCTTGGGCTTGTTTTCTTTCATTTTTTTTTCCTTTTTATTTTGTGAATAAACCAAGTGGCTTTGTTGAATAATCTGTTCGTATGTACTACCATGAACGAGGTTGCTTTCATTGGAGAGCACAAAGTAGAGAAGACACTCACACGCTTTCCCTAATTTGTCTTTTTCCCTCAAGTGGGTTGTTTTTCGATTTTATTATGAACGAACTTCATATAAACATGGCGAACAGAAAACTGCAGAATCAATGCATTGAATGGTTATTTTATGAACTGCGCTGCAATTTCATTTAAACCAATCCACGTTCTAATGTTGTACAAAATTGCTAGTGGATGATAATCTATATCTATTATTTAGTTTTTCGAATTCCTTTTGAGATCCGGAAGACAATTGATTCCTTCAAATTGTGGAGGAATCGGGTACATATAATCTGACCAAGATATTACAATAAACATTTTTTGTTTGACAAAAAGAGAACTGTGAAGGACTAAGTGTATGCTAAAAAAAGAAAAGTAACTAAGGGCGTGTAAAGAAAAGAAAAAGAAAAAAAAAAACTTTGAAGCTTGAAAAATAGTTAGAGCAAAGCTATTCAACTAAAAAGTTTGTTTTTTGTTTTTTTTTTTGTTTTAAACATAAACTAGATGCTTGTCCCGGGCAAATGCCTGGGGGCGTCCCACCTAATAAATCGATATGTAAATAATCAAAATTGATTAGGAATGAATTTAGTTTTTGATGAAGATAATTGATTGACTAGAAATTAATTTTTTCGGAAGTCCTAAATAAATGGAGAAGGAAAATTTCATACACTGTCAAATTCAAAATTTGAATGAACGTGACCATCTGATCTCTTCGTTAATATTGTAAATATATTTTTTATTTTTAAAAGGAGGTGACACGTGGCAGAATGATTAATGCAATATGGTGCATTTGGAGCCAAAACATTTTAATAAGAAAATGCCACATCAGCATCCTGTTTTCTGCTTTAATAGGGTAAAAGGGATATGCTAAGAAGCTATTCAACTAAAAACGTAAAATTGCGAAAATAAAGCCTAAATTTTAAAAATGAAAGTATGCAGTACATCACATGAGATGCGTTCGCAAGTTGAAAGTTTAAAATTTTAATAAGTCGAGATTTCAAACTAGTTTTTTTCTTCCCGGTATCTGGTAAAGGAATCAAACTACAACATGTAATATAGTATTGATTAATTAATATAAATATGTAGAAATAACAAAAATTTATGTGCCATTAATTCATACGATGAATCGATCAACTATTTAAATTCCCTTGGCTACGCAGAGAAAGATTTAAGTAAAAGGATGCCGTAACAAGATATAATCATTGAAATATGAAATGTTGACCAAGATATACATACCTAGCGTTTGGACTCAACATACACTTTGGAAAGAAAAATGGATTACTAGTTCCTAATTACCCAAAACAGTCAATTTCCTGCTTGTCTACGCCTCTCCCATATGAAAATTTCCAGCCCTTTTTCTACTATGAAGATGACTATCTGAATCTGAGACTCTGGCAATTCCAAAGACTACAACTTTTGATCAAGTTATAGTCGCCATAATTCCATTAAGAAAAAAAAAAAAAAAAACAATGCAAGTAAACTAGCTAGTGTGGGGCAAGCCCCATTGACACACCAATACTTTTATCGTGAGTCAGCCTGAATTAGTTCTCAACATGGTAAATCTGCAGAGAAGAAAGGTAAATGTACTTCACTCATAAAAGTTGTATCAAATTCTAGCCATTTCCTTCTATTTCCTTCTATTCCATTCTACAAAGTAATCAACATGCTCAATTATATCTCCGAGGTCTGTACTCCACATCAATTAGTTCCGAAGCTTTCAAGCTCTTTTATTTATTTATTTATTTTTCTATTACAAATCCGTAAGACCCACCCCTACACTCTTCTTGGAGTTTTTTTTTTTGTTTTTTTTGTTTTTAAATTTATTCACTGTCAAAATTGCATAGTTATTCGATTTATAAGACTAATATAAACAAAACAATTAAGTCCTCTATCAAGCAAATCTGACCGTCGACCTTGAATTTTTATTGAAGAAGATGGAAAGATCACATATTGATTTTTTCATGAGTTGGACACGAAGCAATGAAGGTCAAAAAAAAAAAAAAAAGTAATGATACACAACGCGAAAACTCAACTCGAAACCCCTACGCGAATGACATGTCCCTCCAACCTGTCAGCCCTTCTGTAATTTTTATATTTTATCAAAATAATTTTTAATAAAAAATAAAAAGAGAGAAAAAAGGAACCCACTTCTCCGGCTACTTAAAACGTTCGGTTCTCCATCTTCCTCCTGAAAAGTTTCTAATCAGTTCTCAAATTACTCAATCTTCAATATAACATATTGGTAAAAGCAACTTTCAAATATCCATCAAAATCAGACAATTCTACCTTCCTCCTCATTGGGGTTCAGGCCTTCAGGGTTCTGCAAACCTTTTGTATGACTCAACCGGCAAATCTCGATTTCAAGACATGGAAGATGTTTAAACTATTAAATCAATTTTCCAGGAATACACAAGAAATCAATTTTCCTTTTGCTAAATCAAAATAATAACAACAATTTACAATTAGCTCTATATCCCACAGAAAGAGGAGACTAAGGAATTAATTCAATTCACACATAAGTATAGTTGGCACTGGAAATTTCAGAATTTGATTTTCACTGCGTGAGGGTATTATGGAAAATCAACGCATTGTTTTTTTTTTTTTCTAGAGGTTAATTATCGCCAGCTGTTGCCGAAGTATATTAAACTCACAGCAATTGCAGTAGCAAATAAGGCTTCTTTTCTTGTGTCAAAAAGTCAATACGCATTTTCTTCTTTTTTTTTTTTTTTCCGAATCACAAATGTATATATTCTGCTGGCTCATTTCAATTCCAATACATATCTTGGCTGCCCTGTCCACAAGGTAGGAAGAAATTTTCTATTTTCACCAAATCATTGATGGGATCGATAGAAAGATAAACAAAACTGATTCTACATACTTTGCCTTTTCCATTCTTATATATTTTGAGCGGCTCTACAAAAACAATTGTTCAAGCTAGAGAGAATAAAAGCTGGCTACCTTTTAGGTGGAGTGTGACAGATCAAGTCCATATACATATAAATAAAAGACAAAAAAAAATCAGTTTTCAAAACTAAATGAAGGTTAAAATTAACAATAAACAAAAAGTCTTATAAAACCAGCCACAACAAGAAGACCACTATATATAAACCCTACTTTTCCCATATGAAATGTAAAACAATATCATTTCTTGCTTTCTTGTTTTTCTGCCTCCAAGATCTCAGCCGACCAAGACCAATCATTTATTTTGTAACAGAAGAAAACTAAAATTTAAAGAAAATAAATAAAAGAAAGGAAATGAACAGGAATATTTTCTGGAGACTACATTGTCACTTATTGAGTTTCAAAACAAAACATGAATGTCATATTTATAGGCTTTCTACATAAAAGATGAGTACTTCTCTTCTTCTCTTGATAAGAAACTCTAATCTATCAAATAGAAATCATCACTAAACTAGGATTAGCATGACTACATACTAAAACTCTTAATATTTATCTTAATATTTATCTGATAACGACACTGCCAACCCCAATCCTTTGCGGCTTCATTAGTTGTTTTACCTATGTTATCTTGGAGTGCGTCCTTGTCATCCAAAATATCATGCAATGTCATCTTTGCGAACTCGCTAAAGATCGGATTCGCAACCCGAATTACGGCATTCGTTGGATCCGCAATCGCACACGAAGCCAACCTAAGGTCAACAACCTTCACAGAAAAAACTCCATCCCCAGACATCAAGACATTGTCTTTAGTGACGACATTATGACGGGGAACGGGCACCACGCGCTCTTTCAAACAGTATTCATAAGCTATTTTGTCTTGGCAAGGATCTAACTGATGAATCCCTTCCGTCAATGTCGTCAAGTATTTTCCGGATCGCTCACCAACGTATGCTTTCATTTCCCGCACGAACTCGATGAAATTGGCTTTCCTGTTCGTCACCAGCCGCATTGGCCGCGGCGGGATATTTTCGATTCCTCCTTCTCCATGCTCCTCCTTCTTAAGCTTCTCTAGGGATCCTGATATTATGGATATTGCTTTGGCGGTAATTGCTTCTCGTCCAATCAGCTGGTATAACTTTTCAATCTTTGAAGACAGCGTATTTGCTCGCTTCTCTCTTTCCGCCTTTTGTACTTCCAGGTTTGTAAGCTCAAGTTCTAAATTTTCAGCAACTGCATTTGCTACGCTTTTCCATTCTTCCTATAACATTGGGCCAGCCTTTATGGCTTCCGAAACAAGTATCTTTGTAGCCTCCCAAGCGAATTTATCAGCTTGCCTTTCTAATTCCGCCTTCAAGATTTGAGGCTTTGTTGCCGGCGACTACCTCATTTTCATGAGGCATAGCTATCTTCTTGATTTCGCAACGAGTACAATGCAATCCGCAGTCCTTTGCCGTTTCGTTAACGGCAGCCGATATCTTTTCGTTGAATGCCTTCCACTCGGTGCTAGTTTCTAACAGTGTTACCTTTCCGACCTCGCTTTGTATCGTGGCTCGCGCGAGATTAATCAAAGTGTCTTTCGGCTTCTCGACCACGTACGACGCCAACTTAGGGTCGACAATCTTGAGAAAGAGATCTCCCTCTATGTATATGGCGATATTGTCTTTAGTAACGGTTTGGGATGAGTAACGAAGAAGGCCCTTCTTTAAGAATATGTATAGGCTATTTGGTCTAGGTCGGGAGTGAATTCATGAGTTCCGGGTGTCAATGTGTTCACATACTCCCCAAACCGTTCGATAACATATGCTTCCCCTCCGGCACGACGATCCGGATCGGACAAGGGCTCTCTTCAAAATTTTTGAAACCACCTCTAGGGTTACGGCAGGTACGGAGGTGACGGACTGCTGTGACTGAAGGAGGCGGAATCGGATGGCTTTGGGAGAGAAGGGACCGTTGGTAGAGGGAAGAGGGAGGAGCGGTGGTGGAGATGGGTCGTCTGGCGGAGGAGGAGTGGCGGTTGAAGAGTTGTTTGAGATGCCGGAGAGTGTTGGCCGACCGGGAACCGGATCTCAGGGTCTTCATCATCCTTGTAGTGCTACGATGATGGACTTGTTTATGATGGAATATTCGATAAGCTTTTGCTGCGCGTCGTTCTATTCTTTTTAGCGGGTTTTTGATGAACCCTAGCTAATTTGCTGCCTGCTCCTTTTCACAATAGTAAATCCCTGCAATTCAGTTTTGGATCTGTTGTTTTGATTGGTCCATCAGATAAAAGGGTGTTTGACTATTTTGAACTACATCATTCGTATTTGTGAAGTTAGTAACGATATTTCTTTTTTCTTTTGTTTTTTAATATACAATTTTATTTTAACTCTTTTTAAAAAATGATCTTATGAACTTTCTATTGTTTCAGCTTAAGAAAGAGCATAAATTACTTTCAAACTTTTAATTCCCTATTAGAAAAATCGAAACCCAGTATCCCAATCTATTAACAAGGTTCTGGGTTGTAACAAAAAATTAAACCCGTGAAATTTTCAGCCTAGGCGTTCGACAATATTCCTACGTAATGATGTGATGCTCTTCGGGACCATCTGGGATTTTTCATCTACTCAAAATGTCACTCTTTCGAAATGATAATCTAGTTTAGACATTTATTTTTACTATAAATTGTACTACAACGGAAAAAAAAATCCAAACCGTACAATCATTAGTGGACCAAGAGAGTATCTATAGTACTTAATTAAAGCAGCAAACAAAAAAGTGTGTCAACACCACAATGAAAATCATTAGTGGACCAAGAGAGTATCTATAGTACTTAATTAAAGCAGCAAACAAAAAAGACATGTGTCAACACCACAATGAAAATCATTAGTGGACCAAGAGAGTATCTATAGTACTTAATTAAAGCAGCAAACAAAAAAGACACGTGTCAACAGCACAATGAAAATTTCCCGCCAAAAGCCATTTTCAGTACAAAGTCATTTTTTGACACGCGACACTCTAACTAATCAGAAAAAAAGATGGAATAGATAAATACATAAATCCCTTAATTATAGCTACATAAAAATTTCTTAATTATAGGTATATACTAATCTCTTAAAACAATAATATTTAATTGATAAAATCAAATGTAAGGAAATCTCCTTAAATCAAGTGAAACACCAGTAATGTTTTCCCAATCTCCAATTTCAAAAAATCTCTTCCATTCCGCTCATCTCTCACACCCGGGCCTTTAAATCAATTACTTAAAATCTGACATCAATTATCAATCCATAAAATCTCTTCCATTCCGCTCATCTCTCACACCCGTATCTTTAAATCAATTACTTAAAATCTGACATCAATTATCAATCCATATCTTTGAAACCCGGGCATAAGTTAACTGTTGTAAATTAAATGTTATAAATCTGGGCTTAGATTTATGTGTAATAACTCACTTTCTGTCCTTTCAATCGATTTTTTATTCTTTTATTTTTTTTATTCTTTTGAGAATTATTTGTATTTTTATTTAATCAATTTAAAAATACAAGCGACATCCCGTACATTTGCCCGGGGCAATCATCTAGTTATATATTTATTTTCATACGAAATGAAAAACAACGAATCAAAGTAACTTTAATCCTCTAGCTACTGAAATAAGTATAATCTCCTAACAAAGCTCGGTCTGATATACGATCTATTTCGTAACTAACACATTGCAAACCCCAACCTTTTGCAGCTTCGTCAATTGCTGCTCTTATTTCCTCATTAAGCGTGTCGCTCTTCTCCAATAAGATTCCGTCCACTCTGATCTCTCTGAACTTGCTTTGCAATGTCGAATTTGCACATTCAATCAAGGCATCTATCGGATTAATTATCACATAGGAAGCCAACTTAGGATCAACAACCTTGACACAGAGAGTTCCGCTCACGGATACGGTGGCATTGTCTTTAGTAACGACATGCGGTTGAGAATTCCGTACAAAGTGTTCTTCCAAAGAATATTCATACGTTATTATGTCTTTGAAAGGATCTAATTCGTGAGCTCCTTCCGTCAATATTGTTTTCAGATATTTCCCAGATCGCTCCACAACATATGCTTTCCCCTCCGGTACTATCTCAATAAATTCGGCCTTCTTATTCCGCGCCCGCCGGATCTCCGGCCACAGTGTATGATCCTCCCTTAACCTTTCTCCTCCTCCTCCTTCCTTTAAGATTTGGTTCATCTTTACAATAGGTTCTTCTTCTCCTTTAAGATACCGTTCTAACTTTTCAGCAACTGAATTTGCTATCCTTTCCCATTCTGCCTTTAAGTTTGGACCAGACACCTTTCCAGCCTTCGAGGCAAGTACATTTGTAGCATCTGAAAAAAATTTATCTGCCAGCTTTTCTAGTTCTGCCCTTATGATTTGTGGTTTTGCTACCGCCAAAACCTTTTTCTCCTGAGGCAGAGTTTTCTTCTTCATTTCGGAACGACTACACTCTAAGCCCCACTCCTTCGCCGTTTCGTTAATGGCGGAAGCTATCTTCTCATTGAGCACCTTCCACTCGCTTTGAGTTTCCTCCAGCGTCATCTTTCCAACCTCGCTTTGTATTGTGGTTCGTGCGAGATTGATTAAAGCGTCTTTCGGCTTCTCGACCGCGTAGGACGCCAATTTAGGGTTGACAATCTTGAGAAAGAGATCTCCATTGATGGATATGGCGACATTGTCTTTGGTTACGGCGGTTTGATGAGCAACGGAGAAAGGCCCTTCTTTCAAAGAAAGAATATAGGCTATTCGGCCTAATTCGGGATCGTTTTGATAAGTTCCGGCTGTCAATGTCTTCACATACTTCCCAGATCGCTCGATAACATATGCTTCCCACTCCGGCACAATGATCCCCGGGTTCTGCTCATACCTTTCTTCGAAACCACCTTTAGGATCACGGCCAGTACGGAGGTGACGGATGGCCATAACAGAAGAAGAACAAGGCGTGAGAAGTGGTTGATTGTGTGGGGAGAGATGTCTGAGGAAAGAGGGAGGAGCGGTGGCGGTGGTGGTGGTGGAGATGGCTCGTCCGGCGGAGGAGTGGCAGTTGAAGAGTTGTTTGAGATGTCGGAGTTGATTGGCTGACCGGGAACCGGATTTTAGGGAATCCATCATCTTTTTTGTGCGGGATGATGAACAAGTTTATGATGAAGTTGATAAGCTTTGCTTGTGGTAGCAAACTAGGTAGGGTTTAAAGAGGTCTCAACAAAAACCCGCAAAAAAAGAGGACCCCCTTTTCCCAAGCTATTACGTACCCTGCAAAGTTCTAAGATGAGTGTCATATGTGTACAAAACCTGTCGTTTTGATTAGTCCATATACAGCTAGGGGGTGTGTTTTATTATTTTATATTTGAAAAATAGTCCTTACATTATTCAACGATATTTCTTGTCCATTTTTTCTTCAATTTATACAGAAATAAATTTCTTTTTATTTTCAAAAGAAAACTAAAAAATGACTATTATGGAACTTTCTAGTCTTTCAGCTTTAGACCATCCATTTAGGCTTCTTTTAACCCATTTAACCAGGTCGAACTTTGCAGCCTCTAAAACATCAGTACATAATGTGTAAGAAACAAAAAAATAAAATAAAATGCACACATCAATCATAGAAATTTAACGCAAACGAAAATAAAACACGTTTCTTACAAATACATAAAGTCTATAGCATCGAAAGAAGTCCCAAAACTTGTTTTAAATCGAGCAACAACATAGCCACTACAATCTCAAACGTCCTATGGACCGCCTTCACTAAGCTTCCAATAACTCACTATGACTTGATTTCCATATCCCCAACTCATATTTCCTATTCGAAATGAAAAAAACAATGAAATAAATAACTTCTTTTTTTTTTTTTAAGTACATAAAAGGAGGCCAAAAGCTTCTTACATGTATGCCACTCCAATGGTATCATGATACAACTATGGTCAAATCTTTCTTGGCAATTCTTCAAGTCTTCTTACGTTCCACTCTATTTGATCTTTTAAACCCCGAAATTGGTTTCGTGAAATGTGTGATTCACCACAACTCACCAGTCCCTTTGCATCAAATTAATCTTTGAATCCCTGCACTAATATATCCCTCATGGACTCCTTCCTGGCTGTTTTGGCTGTGAATTTTCTCATTGAACGAAATAAATAACATCAATATTGAGTCATAACCTCCGAAAAAGGTTAGGGTTTTAAATATATGATATACTCTATTTTGTAACGAACACACTGCAACCCCCAATCTTTTGCAGCTTCGTTTATCGCCACTCTGATTTCCTCATTGAGTGTGTCCCCCCAATTCAAGAAAAGTATGTCCACGCCGATTAATTCTTCGACCTTGCTTCGCAATGTCGAATGTGCACATTCAATCACGGCATCATCAATCGGATTCCTAACCGCATACGAAGCCAACTTAGGGTCGACAACCTTGACACAGACAAGTCCATTTACGGATAAAGCGACATTGTCTTTAGTGACCACGTCCTGTTGGGGAGTCCGAATAGAATGTTCTTCCAAAGAATATTCATACGCTATTACGTCTTTGGAAGGATCTAATTCGTGAATCCCTTCTGTCAATGTTTTCAGGTATTTCCCGTTTCGCTCTACAACATATGCTTTCCTCTCCGGGACTAGCTCGATAAACTCGGCCTTCCTATTCGGCACCAGCTGAATTCCACATATGTCAAGCTGCGAGATAAACTCCTCTTTGCCTCCATTCTCCTTAAGCTTCTCCGGCGATTCTGATATTCCTTTGGCAGGTTCATCTCGGTTAAGAAGCTCCCGTTCTAAATTTTGAGCAACTGAATCTTCTATTCTTTTCCATTCCGCCTTTAAGAATGGACCAAACACCTTTACGTCCTTGGGGACAAATAAACTTGTAGCAGCCGAAAAAAATTTATCAGCCAGCTTTTCTAGTTCAGTCTTTCTGATTCGACGCCCGTTTGAATGTGCCAATACCGTTTTTACACGAGGCTGAGTTTTCTTCTTCATATTGATTTCGGAACGAGTACACTGTAATCCCCACTCTTTTGCCGTTTCGTTAACGGCAGCGGCTATATTCTCATTGAGCACCTTCCAGTCGCCGTGAGTTTGCTCCAGCTTCATCTTTCCGACCTCACTTCGAATCGCGGTTCGAGCGAGGTTGAGCAAAGCGTCTTTCGGCTTGTCGACCGCGTAGGACGCGAGTTTGGGATCGACAATCTTGAGGAAGAGATCTCCGTCTATGGATATGGAGATATTGTCTTGTGTAAAGGCGGTTTGATGAGTAACGGAGAAAGGCCCTTCTTTCAAAGAAAGGATATATGCTATTTTGTCCAAGGCAGGATTGAATTGATGAGTTCCGGCTGTTAATGTTTTCGCGTACTCACCGAACCGCTCAATAACATATGCTTCTTCCTCCGGCACAACCATCCGAATAGGAGCCGGGTTCGGCTGATACATCTCTTGGAAACCACCGCTAGGGTCACGGCCGGTGCGGAGTTGACGGACGGCGGTAACGGAAGAAGAAGGCGGCAGCAGTACTGGATGATGACGGGGAGAGAGATGATTGGATAGAAGGAAAGTGGGAGGAGCGGTGGTGGTGGAGATGGCTCGCCGGTTGTTGAGTAATTGTTTGAGATGCCGGAGTTGATTGGCCGACCGAGAACCTGATCTTAGGGTATTCATCGTATCTTTTTCCTCCTTTCTGGGATGAGGAGTTAGAAGAGTTTGAGATTGAATTGCTCTACTGCGCCCTCTCTGACTTTAAGCCCTGTAGTTGCTGCCCTTTTCCCAAGCTAATTAAACCCTAAAATTTAGTTTAGAACCCTCGCGTCGCTGCCCATTTCTAATTTTCTACCGTTCGTTTTGATTCTTGTTAAATATTTCGTCGTAATACAGTACTAGATCTGCCCGGACGCTCTCTCTACTTTAATTTTGTGTTAATAGATAAATGAATTTTTGATTTGAAAAAAATAAAATAGCTACACATTTGTTTTTTCCCCCTTTTTTTAGCTAAAAATAAAAATAAAAATAAAAAAATCATCTGCAAAAGGAGAAAAAATATTGAAAAGTACAACGATGCAGAAATCATACAAAAGAATATGGTGTAATAAACGGAATAAGTTTATGGGTAAATTTAAATGCTATCTTAATTTGATTGATAAATGATAAGTGTTAGGAGTTAAAATTGTGTAGCTATTTTTGTAAAGTAGTTTTTGTTTCTCCGGATAAGAATTTTTTTTTTCCTTTTAAAAAGGATGACACGTGACAGAATGGTTAATGTAATATGGTGCATTTGGAGCTAAAAATTTTTAATAAGAAGTTGCCACATAACATCATGTATTCTGCGTAATTTGGGATTGATAATTTAATATTCCTTTTTAGTGATATAGATAAAGATATTTCAGTTTTCCATATTTTCCTTTTATTTTTCAAAATAATTAGAATTTATGACTAATGGTACATGAACTCCCTAGTCTCTGCCAGATTAAGAAAAGCTTAAATTACCTTCAAACTTTAAACTCCTATGAAAAATTGAAATACCAACTTTAATTTTCCAAGGTTCTACATTTTGAGAGGAAATCCCGTGATCATTAATTTGAAAAACTTCCTACATTTTATGATTTTTCTATTGAATTTTTTGTCGGGTGTGAAAGGTTCAGAAAGAAATTGTAAGTATTAATTATAGAATCTTGACGTGATTATTTATCAAACTACAGAGAAAAATTGTGAAAAATGACAAGAAACATTGGATTTTACAATTTGTAGACAACTTTGGTGAATAAGTATTGATACCGAAAAATAAATAAGCATTTGGTGAATTTCATATTGATACCGAAAAATAATATATATATATATCTCAAAAGAAATTGTATAAATTCGAAAAATAAAGGATTGGTACTCTTCTAGCTTTTGGTTGAGTTGATAAAAGTTGGTGACGAGTAGAATATGCAGCGCATTGCACCAAGTTTGGTAAGTACTTCCGTTACATTTGGTCATGAAACATTGACGCGATATTTTATCTTGCTACCATATAAAGTTGTGAAAACTACTACAATATGAAACAATGGAGTGTGGCCAAATACTTCAAGAAAAGAATAATGTGTTTTAATTGATTTGCTTGTTGAATATAATTATCACTTTGGATGAAAGTGTTATGCTTCGACTAAAACCTAAATTCGAATTCTGCATAATTTGAAAATCTAGAAGTTCATATGAAAATTCGGGGCGCCGTAATGATAATTGATCCCCCTCTCTTATATATACATTTATTTTTTAGTTTTGTGATTTATATGGACGAGTAGCTACAAAATAATTATTAATTATATCAAATAATATAGGGTAAGTGTGTTTTTTTTTTACTTTGGTACAAATAAAATATGGTAACTTGATTACGACTTGAGTTTGGTACCTACTATAAAACCGAAACAATTAAGCATTGATATGATTTTTTCCATAAATTTGTGAGAATACTTTTTTTTTCCGATCTCTGAGACTGATTAGCAAACAAACCAGCAAGTATCATTGTCGTTGCATCATAAAGTTTCCACAATGTCAAATCTAATCGAGTCAAGGGTTTCCAACGAAGACAAACCAGTAACCAAGGCACCAAAACTCCACGAATCTTCATCCCCATCCCCTCCTTTTACTCCTGAAGCTGATCAGAAATCCTTCGGGAAATCGTCACCCGACCAAGATACCGAAGATGCATCCGATGATGATGAGGAGGAGGAGGAGGAGGAGGATACAGACGTATCAGAAGGTGACGAGGTTGATGGTAACATCGAAATAGACTATGACGACGGTACGCTCCAACTAGATGATGACGAGAGCGGCGAGGAGGAGGAGGCGGAGGAAGGCGGCGGCGGCGTCAAGCACAAAAAGAAAAAGAAGAATAATTCAAGACTTAGGTATTATGTTCCGGGGGAGGGAAGGATGAAAACGGAACTGATGTATATATTTGGACCTCAACGGGACGGATAAAGAAGTATGTGAAGCTATGGGAACAGTACGAGAAAGAGATCCACGAAAGTCAAGGTTTAGGAGGTTAAAACTTATCCTAAAAATTGTTTCCGAATGTCATTCCTTCATAAGAATTTCAAACAAGCCGATCAAGTCACTAGCTTGCCCGAGTTCCGGGAGATGTCGGTCGAATGCATTGCGTATTACAACAAAAGGCATCAACAAGGACCGGAATACAAGTATGTTGAGGTTGATTATGTGACAAGCCGCCCTTCTTATCTCAAAGATCTGTTTTATATTACCTTCCGAGCTTCTCGGGTTGATGATCCCGACGTCACTGAAAGTAGTTTGTGAGTCGTTTTCCGCCTATCAAGAAGGTGCGCTTTTGCGAGCTCAAGAATGTGCTTCCATCAACTTGGGAGATGGCTAAGCCTTGTGGCCTCCCTTGCTGCTTTGATATACATGTTGCTCAGCTGCTAGGAGAAGCCAAACCTGTGAAGTCAGTAATTTGAGCTTCCATGAAGCAGTAGTGGTTTTGTTTGAGTTGAGACTTCTGTTACCACCCAAACAGATTTTAGTTTCGCCGACAGGGTTGCACTGGCCGCCGACTGATGGGACAAATAATATAATATGGTAGGATTACCTACAGATTTTATTAGTTATAAGATATTTCCTATAATTAAGGGGTTGTATTTGAAGACTAATTCTAGTTAATTCACACTTGAATTGGGATTAATTTGGTTAAAAAAGACTATTTTGGTTTGGATTTGAAGACTTCCTACGCCATGATTGGTTAATTATGGTAATTGTACTTTGGTCACTTTGCTCCATCATGTATTAGGCCAGCTTCCTATTTTTTAGGAGAATAATATGGAATTAATTTGATCTATTTTTCCACTAAGAAATAAAGTGGCAGCCGACCTACGTTTCCTCCAAGAAACCTACGGCCAAGTTTGGTTATTTAAGGGGGTATCCATGCAAAACATCATCATCACCCGATCATCACATCAAATCCAACAAGGCCGACGCCTCCTTTTATTTCTATTTTCTTTGTCCTTTTAATCATGTATTTTATCATGTTTTCATAGAACTAGTATAGATAGATAGTTTTTTGCCTATTCTTTCTTCATGAAATCAGGTAGTTTGTTATTGATTTCTACTTTAATGAAGTCGAATCTCATGTAATCTCTCTTCTTTGTAATAGTGTGCCATCGAAGACGTGAAATTCCTTGTCAGCGCTAGGGTTATTTTTCGCATCTTTTAATATATTGAACGCCACTTGGCTTGTTCCACTATCTTTCTTTTTATTCTTTTTCTTTTTTACTTTACGAACCAAAATAAACCGAAAGGCATCGATTCTGAGTCTGAGGGTTGTTTTCGAACTCATCCACAATCGTTTTGAATATTTTTTTTTTGAGAGACTTATACCCTTTTTCTTTTCCACGGTTAAAGGTGATTTTTTTTCGGCACAAACATAATGGCACGCCCAGTGGGGATAAGCTTTGGTTTGATTTTTTCAAGTTGTGGGATTTCTTCCTTTTCCAGAAAATAAAAAAATACTTTATTTTTCTTTTTTATCATGGACTATTCTGATAGCCATATTTATGGTTTTAGTAGTCCTATGGATTCAATCTATGACTCCTTCTCCTACAATAGGTCGCCTGATAATCTCCAACCTTCATATACATATAGTCCATCACCACTTGGTGCACAAATCTCTCATGAGTCCATGTTTTCACATCCTAATTATGCTTCTTCCATGATCGGTAGTACTAGTGGATGGTCGGATGCCTCTAATGACTATTATTCCCACTCTTATGATCAATATAGTGTTAATTGCCAATCCGGTGGTGTTGCCGAATGGTATAATGTCTCTACCGAGCTAGATTCCTCAAGTCTCGGGGGGCTGGCCGCTATTGGCAGTCAAGCATATGGTTGTCACTACATATCGGTTGATGGTTGCAACACGGTACAGCCGGCGACACAACAACAACAGGTGTTGCAGACTCAATATCAGCAAGTTCAGCAGCCGATATAGTATCAGCATGCTCTGTCACAAAAAGAACAGGTGTTGCCGATCCAATATCAATAAGTAGAGTCGCTGGCACAACAACAACAAGTGTTTCAAGTACAATATCAACAAGAGTTGCAGTCGACATAGTATTTGCAGGCATTGTCACAGTCTCAGGCCTAATTCCAACATGATGAGCCTCAAGTACATAGTTCAGAGGTGTTGCAGCAATCACAGTACCAGCAGAAGCTGTCGGTACAGTGTCAACATGCATTGTCACATCTTCTAGTACATGATTTACAGGTGTTGCAGCAGTCACAGTACCAGCAAGGGTTGTTGCAGGCACATTGTGAGCAAGTGGTGCCATAGTCACAGGTTCAACACCAGGTTCCACTTTATAATTCTTATGTTGATTATGGAAAATATAGTGAAAACCTTCAAAAAGAGCTAATGAGATTGGCGATTAGAGCCTTTTATTGCACAGATTCATTTGGCACAGGAATTACTTAGGAATTCGGCGATTAAATCACTGTCGATTGATGATATTGTAGATGATAATCTCTAGCAAAAGCATTTTGATCCTATGGGTAAGTCGTGTGAGCCTGTTTTTTGTGAAATTGTCCCTATTGCAGTTGATTGCAGGACATTGTGTGACTCTTTGAACAGTGACAGCGACATTAAGGAGATTAGTTGTGAGAGTTTTGATGATGCTCAACTTACCACTTCTGTTGCCAAGGGTTTAGATGACGATGAATCCAAGTGCCAGGAGGAACAATGCCATTTGTTAGTTCCCGATGTTGATTTGTCTGTGATGGATGAATTGGCAGTTTCTCTACCTGATGAAGTTCTAAAGAAAGATATAGTTGACCAGTCACTTGATTGTTTTTGTTAGAATCCCTTTTAAACTCATAAACAAGTGAAAAATACTTGTTTTACGCTAAAAATGATAATCTAACATGACCAACATACACCCTCATCACTAATTGGTTTTGAGATTGAACCTCATCTTGGTTTTATTTTATGTACCTTCAAGAGTTTTCCAAGTGCTTGATGGATTCTAACTATTCCGTCACTTGATCAATTCGAGCACGTAGTTAATAATTTGCCGCTTTGATTGACACGAGATAATAGTAATTAGTGGTGGTTGTTGGTGGTGTAGTTGAATGGCATTCTGCAAAGTCATGTACCACGTCTGAGGATGTGTTTGGAGGAGCTTATATATCTGACTTCTTTCGCGCCTGTTGCATACGAGGAGGCTAGGAGTTAGCCAAATAAAACACACCGTTTGGTGATAACATGAATTATAGTAATTCATAAGTTAGCAACTATGTGCTACATGAGACCAAGACATTAGGTCCTTCATATAGACAACTATGTGCTATATCACTGTTGTCTTAGACGACGGATCCAGAATAAATTTTGCAAAATTTGATCAACACATTGATTTGAATCTTCTTCAGCGAGATGATTTCTTAGGGAGGATAAAATCAAAATTTCATTCAATTTCTTTGAGTCCTCCTGTTGAACTACTACTACTGTATGTAAGAACAATATTATTATTAATAATAAAGACCTGATCGGCTATTTTTTTTTTCTCAAATTTTGTGCTTAAGAAATGTTTACTTTACCTTTTAGATTATAGATGCAATAAGAAATACTCTGTATAAATTAACAAGAAATAAAATGAATTGGAAGAAAGGATGTTGAACGACAGAAACTTTCTTTCCTCTGTTTGTATTAGGGTTGACCGGTGATCCTATCACCATCCAAAATGGAAAGTACTAACTAAGTTAATTACATGTAGTTACAGTGTATTTAGTGAACCCTAAGTACTCAGTAATGCAAATGAAATTAAAAAATGATTAGAAAATTAATTATAAGTTGAGGTGCAAATTGCGAAATTGGAAATTAAATCTCCGAAAAGGTATTTATAGTTGATTATTATTATTAAAGGAAAATAAAGATTTCTAAGGTTGTTTAATTAAGTATATATATAATATATCATCGTAAAAGAAGCAAGTGGAAGAAGAAAATTAGTGAATAAAGTATTGGCAAATCTCTAAGTTGAATTAAAATAACACGATCAATATACTATCACGGTGCTGGAAGTACGTATCATCATTAAGGTAATTAGTGTTTACTTTAAAAAAAAAAGAATACCTACCTATATATGTGTGTGTGTCTGATCTTGATTTCTGAATTAGCACAAAAGAAGAAGGGAAAAAAAATGTTGCGAGGATTTGATGCTTTCGCAGCACTGCCGCCAGAAGGTTATGATGAACCTCCGGCAGGATCTTCCAGCGTCGACCACCTCACGAGAAATATTTTTCTCTTTGGTGCCATCGGAGTTGCCACGGCGTTACTCGCATGGCTTTCTCATTAATGTCATAGAAGGTTATGTTATGATGATTAGGTTATTTCTCCCGTCTTAAATAACATAGTTTGCTTGGATACTTTTTATATGTTCTACACAACGTCTTAGAATTTAAATAAGTCAATTGAAGGCCGTGGATATTTTGAATGTACTTGTTCTCCCTAAGAGCATCTCTAACGTAGACACCAAAACACTAAATTTGGTGTTTTGGTGCAAAGTTTGCACTCCAACAAAAAACACTAAATTATTACACTATTTTGATGCAATGAATAGTGTTACACTAAATTTGGTGTAAATTATCATTTTTCATTATTTTTAGTGCATTATTTTTTACTTAGATATAAATTTATAATTGCTATGCAATTAAATTTGTAAAACGAATTTGTAATGAAAATTATATCATATTAAATATTTTGTTGAGATCTTCAAAATAAGATCCATATTGAATATAAATTTTTATTTTTTTAAAAATAATTTTTTAGTTATTAATAAAATTGAATATGAAACAAAAGATTAAAAAAAATTTGATACAGTTACAATCAAGTAAAAAGTGATTATAAGGAACAAATTTCACACAAATTATCACTAAATTACACGATTTTAATTAACCACAAAAATAAAATTTTAACTAAAGCA